AATAAAGAAGGAGAATCAGTAATAAATTTATAAATATATTAAAAAAAAATTGGAATTTTGAAATATATTGGAATGTCGAAATTAATTTTTCGGTATTTTAAAATAAAATATTAACAGTTCTTGTTAAGGAGAAAATGTAAATTATTTTTAAATGAAAAAGAATAATCTTACCTGTAATTGCAATGGTAAAACGTTTACCATTATATCCATATTTGTGTATAATAGCAATTTCCTTTTCATCTTTTAATTCGTTATACACATGCAGTAGTTGTTCCAATAGATCCTTCATCTGTTATTTTAGTAACTTTATATACCGGTTTTTGTACATAACAACGCCAGAAAACAGCGTAAAAATTTATTCGATAAGAATGTTTATCCCGTCAGAGGAATAAATTATCAATTTATAAAGTTACCAAATGCATAAGTCTCCAACTCTGTAAGTTATCAACTTACAGCTTCAACAGCGAACATGTTGTATTTTATCACAAGGAGAGCAAAGAAAAATACGGAAGCTAGAACTTTTAGAATGAGATCCGGAGTACATGTTTGTGAAATAAATATCGTACACTGCAAACAATAATTTTATTTACAAGTTTACATGGAATAATTATTTTTTTATATCTCATACGCGTATATACAGAAACATATATGATGTCACAAATACATGATGTATTTTATATTATAAAGTCTTTCTTAAAAAATTGATAACATAATTTGTAATAGAATTTTATTAATAATAAAAATATTTGAGGAAATGAATTTGAATTATAAGCAAAAATTATAATTTATATACAATTATAATATAGTTACATAACATAACTATTTTATGCTAATTTAAATTGTGATATTGACATTTTGGTAATTATACATGAAAAGGATCTACCCCTTCGCACAAATGTGTTATTGATGTATGTTGTGAAGATGTTATCATTGATGAACATTCTGTTTTAGCTGGCGGTCGTTTTTTATTCAAAAGTTATTAACAAATAAATGTGAGAAATATTAAAATCTTTAATATTATGAATATAAAAGATTTTACTTTATTTGTTCACCGATTTGCTTTAGTTTTGAATATGTTATAGGGGAGATTTTTCTGAGTAATTTCGTGTATATATATATATATATACCGGGTGTTTCAGACCACCCGTACACCCCATTTTAAAGCAAAGGAAGTGGTTATTTTGAAAAATGTTTCAGACAAAAGTTGTTGAAGATAAAGTAATGCATTACATGGGTAAATTTGATTGACCTTGGGTGGCGTCGTGAAGGTCATGTCAAGGTCGACTTGAATTTTTTAAATGGGAACCCCTATTTTTCATTGCATATTCTTGTAGCTTATCTCGAGAGCTTTCCAAAACACTATAATTAAGTACCTTTTTATTAAGTACTTTTTGAGTTATAAGGCTTGAAATAATTTCTTAATTTTACATAAACCATAAAATATCTAGTAAACCATTCATTTTTCGATTATCTTACCTTCATACTTTTATGTACAAAATAATGAGAGGAATCAATTGGTGTAAAGAAAACACATAGTTGTTTCTAAGAAAAAATATGTAATTTGCAATTAACAATTCCATATTTTTTCTTAGAAACAACTATGTGTTTTCTTTACACCAATTGATTCCTCTCATTATTTTGTACATAAAAGTATGAAGGTAAGATAATCGAAAAATGAATGGTTTACTAGATATTTTATGGTTTATGTAAAATTAAGAAATTATTTCAAGCCTTATAACTCAAAAAGTACTTAATAAAAAGGTACTTAATTATAGTGTTTTGGAAAGCTCTCGAGATAAGCTACAAGAATATGCAATGAAAAATAGGGGTTCCCATTTAAAAAATTCAAGTCGACCTTGACATGACCTTCACGACGCCACCCAAGGTCAATCAAATTTACCCATGTAATGCATTACTTTATCTTCAACAACTTTTGTCTGAAACATTTTTCAAAATAATCACTTCCTTTGCTTTAAAATGGGGTGTACGGGTGGTCTGAAACACCCGGTATATATAAGGGTCGGACTCAAATAATCTTGGAGATATAGACTGAAAAAGGATCAATCACAAAAATAAGGTAAACCTTCGGTAAACCTACTTATATGAAATAATGGGTAAGAATATCCAATTTTTGTGTATTCTTACCTTCTGAACACGAATATCAAACTTAAAAATAGCGGGAGACTCGCAAGTCGAAGAAAAACGCAAAAGGTAAATTAAGGTAAAGAAATAAAAGGTAAACAATTTAAATTTATATAGAATTTAATACAATTTAATACAATTAAAAAATATCACAAATGTATGTGTACACATATACACACATACACACACATACGCGGGGAATGCAAAGGGACCTTCGGCCCTCCTTCCTGCAACCATTCCGCCGGTAGGGGATGCAGTAGGGGATTTGCAAAGAGTTTAATCACAATGGATATACATATGCTGTAAGTTGTAAAGCAAGATCGAAATGGGAACCGAAGGCCCCCTCTTGCACTCGCCACGAGCGCGCGCGCGCGCGTGTGTGTGTGTACACATACATTTGCGATATTTTTTAATTGTATCAAATTGTATTAAATTCTATATAAATTTACAATGTATTAAATATATTTAAAATTATTATTTTTTTATGTAACTGCTAAAATAATAAATTTATGAAAAAATTGTATAATCTTTTTCGTAGAGTTTTTCAGCGGCTTTATTTTTTGTTTAAAATTTTTTTTCCCAAATCATTGTTTTCGGAGATAAAAAGCATTAAAATTGTGAAATTTTTTTGTTAATAATTTTTTAATAAATAACGACTGCCGGCTAAAAATCTTCAAAATATTAATTAGAGATATGACTTTGACAACATATGTAAATGACACATTTGTGCGAAGATAGGCCCTTTTTATGCATAATTACCTAAATTTTATAAATATGAGAAAAAATATATTGCTTTGCAATAATTCATCACGTGATAATATTGTTATGATTTATTATTGGAACTTACCTGAAATATAAGGTATGTTGTCAAAATACTAGACAGGAAAATAAATTGAAGTCGAGCGAGGTTTGATTGTTTATAAGGCCATAAACCAACAGCCAGCAGAAGAATTTTATGCAGATTAAAATATTCAGTCTCGAAGTTGACCATTTCTTTGGGAGAACCGAGACATATATGTATATGACTGATAAAATAACTCAGGAGAATTACGCTTACCTTTCCTTTTTCTTATTGATCGATCAACTATTATTTTTTTTCTCCTCTAGTGTAAATTTTAGCACAAATTACTTAATTTTATATAATGATGATATAAAAAACTATTGTTACCCTTAGATTAGAATATTTGTATTTTTTTAACAGTGTTTTTCATCATATAGTCTCTAATTTCGCAATCGATTTGATAAGGGTGGAAATTGAGCGATTGTCTTCTTTTTCATAGGATAAGAAGAAACAATATTTATTGAGGAAATTATTTATGCGAAAGTCGCGCATGCGTAATCGTCACTTTTTTTGACGTTACAATTTCATACTCTTCAGTTTAGTGCACGCATTCATGACATATACTTGCTCTTCGAGAAGTACTTAGTTTTAAGTTTTCTAGTATCGGGTTTATTTGTACTAAAGCTCGTATTATTTTTGAAGATGAATTAATCAAAACTGCACTACGACATTTTTTAATCTTAAATTAGCGCAATTAACATTTTGATATTCTAGAAGCTAATGGCAATCAAACCTGTCATGAGGGAATAACATTTATATTCTACTGTAATTATATATATAAATTAATTAATTTTTATTCTCTAAAATAATTTTTTTTTTCGAAATTTACTAAAATCTTGATTATGATCCATGAAAATAGAAAAATTAAAAATAAATAATTATTTTTAAAAGTTTAGGTTTTCTCTTAAAGGCATTTAAGTTTTTTTTATAAGGAAGTGTGTCAATTACAAAAATATCATTTTGACATCATTTATCTATGGATACCTAATTTGTGAAACATACATTTTTGTATTCTTTTTATATTATAATTTTATATTAAATTATATTAAAATTTGTGTAACATACATTCTTTTTATTATAATATTATAATATTTGAATGCACCAATATAGGAAAAATAAAAATAGAACACGAAATATTTATACTTGAAGAAAAATATTAAAAGAAATAATTATTTATAAGTATACAATCTAAAATGAAATTGAATTAAAAATACAATTATTAAATTGGAAATATAATATTAAAATTATTAATCATTTAGGACATTTAAAATGAATTTAAATAAAATCAAATATCACACGCAACTCAATAAATTTCTTCGTGAAATGTGTACGATTAAACGATCAATAAAACGCTAAAAATATTACTCAGTAAATGTTCTTTCCCCCTTTTCAGTCTAATGGAAACACGCATGGATGCACTCCTGTATAGTCTTCGAAAAAAATATTCTTCATATTTCGGACATTTTTGAGCGGAATATGATCGGTAAAGTTATATTCGAACTATAGTCGAGTATACAAATTAAGAAGATTTCAAATTAAAAAGAAGAAAATAGGCGATCGGCGCAATAAAAATTCCATTGTTACTATAATAATATTATTTCTTATTAAATATAATTTGTACGTAATTGTATTTTTTTTAATTCAATGTACATACATGTTATTAAAAACTTTAAACTCAAATAATTTACAGGTACTATATATTTAAAAATGTGTCATATTAGATAAAAATAGAAATATGTATTTTGATGATATCATAATTGGAGGTAATATTAAATAATTTAATATTAAGTTTATCATACGTTATTATTTACTTAATGTACACGTTATATTTAATTTCAATTCATTGTATATAACGTATAATGAATATCTTGAAATAAAGTTTGTTTATCCATGTTTTTATATATTGGAAAACCTCCAACTCTAAATTATACATTATGAGTAAATGTTTTTATTTTTCTAGTATATATAACAAACTATATATAACAATAATAAACTATGTATAACAATTATACGAAAATAATGTTGTTTCTTTATTCTAACTGTACTCTTACTTATTGTACTTTTATATAATTCAAACTATTACAATTTCTTTATCGTGTAGAATATATAACTGTAAAATAAGATACTGAGGTCTTCACTAACTAAAATGAAAAATATTATATATATTTATGATTATCATATACATTAAATATGTTAGATATACTTTGTTATATTTAGATATATTTAGATATATTTATAAATATATTTTAAAATATATCATATTGGATATATTTTACTATGTCTTCACTCTCATACCGTAGCGAAGCACTCTATAGATGCGTCAAACAGTCCACCGATATTCAAAGTAAAGTTTCGAGAATTTCTTTGCAACAAAAATAGGATCATTCTTTGTATATACAAGGGAGCAAAGTACCATCGCACATTATACCTAGAAATTAAATTGTAAAAACGATGATAAAATATCTGAAATATATCGCGAAATGGTTCTTTAGTAAACTTTAGCATCATGTGTTTGATATGCACATATATTGATTTCTACATTTGTAGAAAATGTAACGGTTTGATTCTTCATGCATGCTATTTTGTAGATACACTTCTTACGCGGTAATAAATACATGTTGATTGTGATTCGTTATAGTTTGTCCGACATAGTTGGCTATGAACATGTACACGATAGTGGCAATTGCAAATATAATGGGGGTTATCAATTCTTTTACGTTCTTTGTAACTGATGCAACCTGAAAAATCTAAAACAAATTTATTGATGTTTTTTATATAATTTCATAAAAATGTTATTTATATAATTTTATAAAAAAAGACTTTATTTAAATGTAAGGAAGAAGATAATTAATTCTTAATGTTTTTAATACTATCAATTCAAATTTTGATACATTTAATGTTAGATTAAGAAAAATATGTTTTATGTATTTTTATTTTTTATTATCTATTTTTAATTTTATGTGTCTTACTGTATTACTTTATGTGATGTATTAAAAGAAAAATTTTGTTGCAGTTAAAATTGAGTATATTGATGAGACTTTTAATCTTTATAAGAAATTATTTAGCTAGGTAATTATTTAGCTTAGGGGGACTACCACGGATAATCTTGACTTTGACATATGTTGTCAATGTCACTGTCCTAAGTAACATTCAAAAGGTTTTAGCCGGCACTCGTTTTTTATTTATAAATTATTAACAAAAGAATTTCACAATTTTAAAGCTTTTTATCTCCGAAAATATTAATTTGAGAAAAAAAATTTTAAGCAAAAAATATAGCCGCTAAAAAACTCTACAAAAAAGGTTATATCCTTTTTTCATAAGCTTACTACTTTAGCTGTTATATAAAAAAATAATTATTTTAAATCATTACTTGGAGGATTACTTTAATCATTATTTAGCGGTATTTATTTTCAAAAAGACATTCGATGATGAAAACCGATAAATGCTATCTTTCGAAAAATGACTGTCATTAAAAATAAATCTTATAAGAAAACCAATAAATTCAAGTGAATAGAACAAACAAAATTTTAAATTTTGAAATCTTTTGCATTGATTTTACTAGTTGAATTTGAAATTTTCTAATTTGAATAAACATTGAAAAACATTTGGTAGATCTTCAGTTTAAAAATTATATTACCAATTAAATAGAAGATTTTGACTGTACTTAAAAAAATATTTTGTCACGTAATAATAAAGCCAATTTATATAAATATATTGCCATCAATATAAAGCCATTAATATAAATATACTGCCGTATATTTTCATATGGAAGTTATAGAGCACTTGCTTAAAAAATAGATTTTGAAAAATAGAAAACTTACTCGAAACAAATTAAGGCTCACTGAGACTACTCCAACTATTATTAAACAAAACATCATTGCTTCAAAACTGGATATAAAGTGTTGGGACAATCTTTAAAAATAATAATTTGTTACTGCTTCTCTCTCTCTCTCTCTCTCTCTCTCTCTCTCTCTCTCTTTCCCTCTTTCTCTACACTTACATACACATGTGCATACGTGCGCACTCACACATTTATATATATAAATATATCAACCTCATAGCTTGTCGGTGAATATCCACAGCACAAATTAAACCCTTGTATATCAAAATGTTTTTTTGTTTAATATTTTGTAACATATCAACGTTCATTGCACGTTTGATACGGTAACTATAAATAATATTTTAATATATTTATGAAAATTTACCAAATAAAAGCATTTATTCTGTTAAATCTAATAGTTAATTTTGTTTAAATATTGAAAATAGCAAATTATATTAATTATTATAGCATATTTATGTTTATACCTGGCAATTTTAAACATTCCAGTAGTGTATTGAAAATACATAATAAGTATTGTTCCTGTCGCTAACATTGCAATTGTCCCGATGCAAACTGATGCAATATTATGCAACAGAATAAAATAAAAATATTTCTCTTGATCAATAAAATATTCTGTCATAATCAACAAATGATGTGATCTTGATGCGTTTGTCGATAAAATAATGTCCAAAATATTCGACCAAAATGATGCAGTGATAAAAGCTATTATGCTGACAACGGCAAGTACTAAAAAAATTAGAGAAAAATAAAATTATTATTTAATTTTTTCTCACTTGTATATATAAGATTTTTAAATTGACTTATATTATTTCATATTTATGTATATAAATATACATTCATGAATACAATAATAAGAATAATTGAAACTTTAATATTTTCAGTTAATTAATCTGTGGTCGATTTTTATCTTGCATTTAATTGTTAACTTTTCTATTATTTCCAAGATTTAAAAACATGTGTCTTGGATTATTATGTACACAGGGAAATTATTGTAATTTCTCGAAATTTTACAAAAGCGAAATTTTGATAATTTTTGCGTATTAGGAAAAAAGTGTAACTGTACAAATAATTTTAAAAAAATGTTCTTACCTGTAAGTGCCATTGTATAACATTTGCTATTATATCTACATTCATTTATAATAGCAATTTCATTTTCGTCTTTTAATTCATTACATACATGCAATAGTTGTTCTAGTAAATTCTTTACCTATTTTAGCAATTTTATATTATTTTTTGTACAATATATAATATCAAAAAATATTGCGGATACATGTATTCACCATCTTTGTTCAGTAATTATAAAATTATCAACTGTATAAAACATTTCAATGCTGTAAGTTATTAACTTACAGTTCTAATATTAATATAGAACATGTTGTACTTTATTATAAAGAAAGTAAAGAAAACTACTGAAGCTAAAACTTTGGTGATGAGATCCGAAGTACATTTTTGTGACAGAAATATTGTACACTGCAAATAGTAATTTTGCTTACAAATTTTCATTAAAAAAGTTGTTAATGCCATGTGTGTGCATATATATTTATACATGAATATAGACATACAAACTTTATATGACTGCTTTTGTTTTAAGAAGTTGTTACTATCGTGACAGAATTCCATTTATAATGGAATATTTAGAATTTGAATGTACTTGTATACATTATTATATATACGTATGCATGATTTAATATTAATTGTTAATGTGTGTACGTTTTAATTTTTTCTCAAATACATATCTATATATATATATATATATTTGTATGTATATAAATATATATGTAAGAATTATAATATAATATACTTGACATTAATTTCATGTTAATCTAAATTGAGTTTTTAAGTTTTACAGGAAATATTATTTAGCAATTTTTCATATAAAAAAATATTATTAAAATTTTAATGTATAAAACTTACCTGAAATATAATGTTTGTCGTCAGAATATTAGACAGAAGAATAAATTGAAACCGCGTGAAGTTTGATTGTTGATAAGGCCACAGGCCAATAGCAAGCAGAAGAATTTTATTCAGGCTAAAGTACTCAGCTTTGATGTTATTCATTCTTTGTGAAGCTTGAGATGTATGTGACGAAGTGCCAACAAGAATTATTCTCTCTCCCTTCCTTTTCCATCGATCCTGTTATTTACTTCCTTTCTCTGGTATAAATTTTAGCACAAATTACATAATTTCATTTAATATAAGGCGGCATAAGATACCTCTAAATTAGAATATTCGCATTTTCTTAACAGTTTTCTCGAAGTAAATACTCTAATTATGCAATCGATTTGATAAGGAAGAAAATTAAGCAAATGTCTTTTTCCCATAAGAAAAGAATAAAATATATTCGATGAGAAATATATTAGATGATTATTTATGCGAAAGTCGCGCACGCGTAATCGTCATCTTTTTTATAGACCACAATTTCATATGTTTCAGTTTGTATTGCTCATTCATAACATACGCTTGCTTTTGGAGAGGAATGTTCAATTTTGATCTTTCCGGATCTTCCTATAAAAGCGCTCGTGCTATTTTTTTAAAATTAATTGATAATAGATCTGTATACGGAATTTTTTAATATTAAATTAATAATTGACGCGAGTAATATATTCGCGAGATAATATTACGATCAATATTCTACAAGCTAAACATATCAATCTCGTGAAATGGTCATTGGAACATTATTTTTCAGATGTATTCTTGCTTTTTTTAAATTTTCTAATTTTACAACATATACGTTAATTATTAAAATTTAAAAATTTTAAATATATAAATTACGTAAAATATCGATAATAAGATATACTATATATTTTAGAGTTCTTAATATTTTCTTTATTTAATTGATAAAATTTTTTGTTTATATTTTCCATACTTTAAAATATACACAACTTGATCTACGGTAATCGAGTATTAATATACAATGGCAATTTAATAAATATGGTAAGAAAACTTATCATGAAAATACATCTATTAATAATTCATGTAAAATATAAATTTGTGTACATCTACATATCAAAGTTCTTTTTAATATATTTTGCTTCGACTTAAAAATTATTTTAATGAGTGTTCGTCTGCACATTCTATTAAAGTGATAAGACACGATGAAGTATTATAAAATATTATATTATATTTATTTTAATGAGATATCATAATTGAAAATAATATAAACTAATTAAATATCTATTATGCTTTATTATACTTTGATATACATTATATTCAATTCCAATTTGTTGTATATATCGCAATGATATTTAAAATGAAATCATTTTATTGCTTTATTTGCTTTGCATGAGAAAACCTCCAATTCTAAACTGCGTGTTAAAAATTGAATTTATGTTTTTTTAATTCATGATAAATAAACAATATTATTTTTTCATTACAATTATATTCCCTCTGTATTCCTTTCCGATTTTATTTCCATCATTAGTTTCGTCATCGTGTAGAATATATGACTGTAAAATAAGATACTGAGGTCTTCACTAGCTAAAATCAAATATACATATATCATTCTTATAACCATTTATTATTTAATGTATTTATCATTTTTATCATATATGTAAACTCTAAATATATTTTACTATTTTTTTTCTCATACCGTAGCAAAACATTCTATAGACGCAACAAACAAACCACCGACGCTCAAAGTAAAGCTTTTTGAGTCTCTTTGTAACAGAAATAATATTATTTTCTGTATATGCAATGGAGCTATATACCATTGAACATTATATCTAGAAAATGAATTACAAATGACAAGACTCTCGATAAAATCTCTCGAATGCATCGCAAAATGAGTTTTTGTTAGTAAATTTAGCATTATACTTGTTGCAGAGTAAGTAAGTACATTTCTTACGCAGTAACAAATACATGATGATTATGATTCGTTATAAGTTGACTAACGTAATTGGCTAAAAACATGTATATGATAGCGAGACTTGTATATAGGAAAGGCAATACAATCTCCTCTTTAGATGAAGCAATCTAAAAAGTTTACAATTAACTTAACGTTTTACACTAATAGTACAGATTAAATATTAATTTTTATAAATAAAAGACAGAAAATTTTTCAAATTTTAACGTTCTTAACGCTAACTATGCTTTTGGTTTTGTGCCAAATATTTGTACAAAAAACTGCAAAAGAATGTTATTAACATATTATAATAAAGAAAAGTAATAGACTGGAGTTGTTCAGTATCAAAAATAATTGAAGAAAATGATGTCTTTTTCGTGTGTGTTTTTTTTGTCGATTCTTGCTGTACTTAATGTGGAATGAATAAAATAATAAAATCACGTAATATAGTAAAATAGCCGTATTTTGTACATTTTACGTATCGATCTCGTTCGAACAATATATTTAACAATAAAATAAAAAACTTACTCGAAACAGATTAAGGCTCACCGAGGTTACTCCAAATAGTATTAAACAGCTCATCATTTTTTCACAACTATATTGCAAGCGTTTCGCTAATCTTCAAAATAAAAATTTATTATAATGTGCCTATAGAACACACTTATATTATCAAACTTATACAAACTTCATTGCTCGTCGATGAATTTCCACAGCACAAATTAAACCCTTGAATATTAAAATCTGTTTTCTTAGATTGATATTTCGTAACATGTCGATGCTCATTGCACGTTCGATACGATAACTATAAATAATGTTTTTGTTCTAATTATATACAAGCATTTATAAAACAGAATATTATTGTCGACTAAATTTAAATTGCTTTGTATGAAAGTAAGAAATAATCCGAATTTTTATGATCATTTTTATATTTATACCAATACCTGGCAATTTTAAACATTCCACAAACGTATTGAAGATACGTAAACAATATTGTTCCTATCGCTAATACAGCAATTCCTCCGATGCAAAGTGATAAAATGGCGTGCAGTAGTATCAAATAAAAGTATTTTTCTTGATCGATGAAATACTCTGTCATGATAACTAAGTGACGTGCTCTTGATGTGTTTGTCGGTAAAATAATGTTCAAAATATCCGACCAAAATGACGCAACGATAAAAGCCACTGTGCCGATAACAGCAAATACTAAGAAAGTGTTAAAAATAGAATTGTTATTTAAATTTCTGCCATATAAATTTTCTAAAATGATTTATACATTATCTTACATTTAGATGCATATGTATGTATATTCGAGAAAAAAATTTATATATAATTGAATATAAATACATATACAGGGTGGCCCACGTAAAATGTTACAAATTTATATCTCGGAAACGAAGCAATTTAGAGAAAAATGTTTTAAAAGTTGTATAGTTTCAAGGGCGACATAAGATGGTGTCATTAGTTTGTCCTTGAAGAATCACCTGAAGATCACGCGAAGATCACCTCCAATTTTTTAAATAGGACTCTCTATATGTTTTTACAGATTTTTGTAGCCCATCTCGAAAGCTTTTTAAAATACTATAATTACGTTAGTTTTCATTAAGTACTTTCCGAGTTGAAACTTGAAATCATTTCTTATAATTTTAAATACATAAACCGTAAAATATCTTGTAAAATATTCATTTTTCGATTATCTTACCTTAATACTTTTATGCACAAAATAATGAGAAGAATCAATTGGTGTAAAGAAAACATATAATTGTTTCGAAAAAAAAATGTAATTTGCAAGTAACAATTACATTTTTTCATTCGAAACAATTATGTGTTTTCTTTATAAATTGATTCCAATTGATTCCTCATTATTTTGTACAAAAAAATATTGAGAATAATCGAAAGATAATTGAAAAATTAATATTTTGCGAGATATTTTACGGTTTATGTAAATTTAAGAAAAGATTTCAAGCTTCGGAAAGTACTTAACGATAACTAACTTAATTATAATGTTTTGGAAACCTCTCAAGATAAGCTACAAGAATATGCGAAAGCATATAGGGTGTCCGATTTAAAAAATTGGAGATGATCTTCATGTGATCTTCAGCTGACTCTTCAAGGTCAAACTAATGGCACCATCTTATGTCTCCCTTGAAACCATATAACTTTTGTCTGAAATATTTTTTTCTAAATTGCTTCGTTTTCAAGATATAAATTTGTAACACTTTATGTGGGTTACCCTCTATATATTTATCTAAAATATATCAATGTATATTATCGTTCTCTTCTATAATCTTTGTTTATATGTTATTCGAAATTGGAATGCCACTTATTACTGATTATTATGTACACAGAGATTGACAAAAGATGAAGAGATGAGAGGTAGACAAAGAATGAATGATGGAAGAGTGAGGATGAAGAATGGGGACGTATTAAGAATTTTAAACAACAATGAAAATCTTTCAGGATTGAAAAAAGGAAAATAGGATATAGAAATAAAAGATATTTTGTATGTAAAAGATAGAAAGTTGTCGAAGAAATTAGAAGGCTAATTTATACTAATTATAGTTATAAGATGAAAGGTAAAATAAGATAAAATAAAATATAATAAAATAAGTTAAGTAAAATAAATTAGTGCAAAAGCTCCTCTAAAAAGAAGAAAACTGAAAGAAAGATTTACAGTTTCTGTAATCCCAAGGAAAATTAATAATTTATGTAATTGAAAAGTTGGAATTTGAAAATCTATTGGAATTTCGAAATCAATTTTTCGATTTTTTGAAATGAAATATGAACAGTTCTTGTTAAAAAGAAAGTGTAAAATATTTGCAAATGCAAAAGGATTATCTCACCTGTAAGTGCAATTGTAAAACGTTTGCTATTATACCCATATTCGTTTATAATAGCAATTTCATTTTCATCTTTTAATTCATTATATACATGCAGTAGTTGCTCCAATAGATCCTTCATCTATTGTATTAATAACTTTATATATCGGTTCTTGTACAAAAACAATAACGCCAGAAAACGGCGTAAAAATTTATTCAATACAAATGTTGATCGGAAGAATAAATTATTAACTTATAAAGTTATCAAATGCATAAGTCACCAATTCTGTAAGTTATCAACTTACAGATTTAACAGAAAACATGTTGTATTTTATTACAAAGAGAGCAAAGACAAATACGGAAGCTAGAATTTTGATAATGAAATCCGGAGTACATCTTTGTGAAATAAATATCATGCACTGCAAACAATAAATTTATCTATGAATATACATTAAAAAATTATTTTTCTAAATCTCATACGCGCATATATACATAAACACATAAATGCTGTCACAAATACATGATGTATTTTATATTATAAAAGCTTAAAAAATTGATAACATAATTTGTAATAGTATTCTATTAATAATAAAAATATTTGAGGAAATGAATTTAAACTGTAAGTAAAAAGTTATAATTTATATATAATTATAATATAATTATAAAACATAACAACTTTATCCTAATTTAAATTGTGATGTTGAAATTTCATAAATATGAGAAAAAATATATTGTTTTCCAATAATTCATCACGTGAATATTATTATTATTTGCTCGTTTCTTAATTATCATATTATTATTATTTATTATTAGAATTTACCTGAAATATAAGGTTTGTCGTCAAAATACTAGACAGGAAAATAAATTGAAATCGAGTGAGATTCGATTGTTTTCTAGGCCACAAACCAATAGCGAGCAGAAGAATTTTATTCAGTTTAAAATATTCAGTTTCGAAGTTGATCATTTCTTTGCGTGAACGGAGATGTATATGACTGACAGAGTAACTCAGGAGAATTACATTTATCCCTTCTTTTTCCCTTTAATCGATTAACTATTATTTATTTTTTTTCTCTAGTGTACATTTTAACACAAATTATTTAATTTTGTATACAAAACAACGGCATAGGATACTACCTTGAGGTCAGTATAGTCGCATTTTTTTAACAGTATTTTTCATATAGTCTCTAATTACGCGATCGATAAGGGAGAATATTTGAAGGGTGGAAATTGAGCGAATTATTTTTTCCCATAACAAAAGGGGAAAAAAATTCGTTTAGAGCATTATTTACGCGAAAGTCGCGCATGCGTAATCATCACTATTTTTGTACCAGAATTTCGTACGTTCAGTTTATTGCGCGCATTTGTAACATACGTTTGCTCCTCGAGAGGAACGCACAATTTTGAGCTTTTCGGATCTTCTTATTAAAACTCGTGTTATTTATTAAAACTAATTGATAATAGATCTATACATACGGAATCTTTTAAGCCTAAGATAATAATTTTCACGATTAAGATATTGATAAGATATTGATTCTGAATTAAGATATTCTAGAAACTAAATATATCAATCTCGTAATCATTTGCAATATCATTTTTCAGATATGTTCTTATTTTTTTTAAGCTTTTAATTTTACAATATGTAGTATGTTATTTTACAATATATATATTTTTACAATATATATGTTAATTATTAAAATTTAAAAATTTTTAATATAAAAGTTACATAAAAAATCGATTATAAGATATACTATATATGATAAAATATATATTATAGTGTCCATTTTCTTTATTTAATTAAAAGTAAAATTTTTTATTTATAATTTCAATACTTTGAAATATACATAACTTGCTACAATAATCGAGTATTTGTATACGAGTATTTATATACGAGGGCAACTCAATAAATACGGTAAGACTTATCATAAAAATACATCTGTTAGTAATTCACATAAAATATAAATTTGTGTACGTGTATATGTTCGTGTCAAAGTTCTTTTTAATATATTTTCTTTTGAATTAAAAACTATTTTAATAAGTGTTTGTCTGTACATTTTATTAAAGCCACGATGAAATATTATAAAATATTATATTATATTTATTTTAATGAGAGATATTATAATGGAAGGTAATATAAATACTAATTAAATATCTGTTGTACTTTATTTTAATTGATATACACTTTATATTCAAATCCAATTTGTTTGATATAGCACAATGATATCTGGAATTAAACAATTTCATTGCTTTAATTATTATGTATGAGAAAATCTTTAATTCTAAACTATATATTATAAATCGAAGTTTATATGTTTTTAATATATGATGTATGAGAGCAATATTATTTCTTTATTATTAACAGCATTTTCTCTTATCAATTTTATTTACTTCCAATCAATATAGTTTTGTCATCGTGTAGAATATATGACTGTAAAATAAGATACTGAGGTCTTCACTAGCTAGAATCAAATATACATATAACATTTTTATAACCATTTACTATTTAATGTATTTATCATTTTTATCATATATGTAAACTTTAAATAAATTTTATTATATATTCTTTTTTCGTACCGTAGCAAAACACTCTATAGATGCAATAAATAGTCCACCGACACTCAAAGTAAAGTTTTTCGAGTTTCTTTGTAACAAAAATAATATTATTTTCTGTATATGCAATGGAGCTATATACCATTGAACATTATACCTAGAAAATAAATTACAAATGACAAGGTTCTCGATAAAATCTCTCGAATGCATCGCAAAATGAATTTTTATTAGTAAATTTCAACATTATGCTTCTTGTACAAAGTAGGTAAGTGCATTTCTTACGCAGTAACAAATACGTGATGATTGTGATTAGTTATAAGTTGACCAATATAATTGGCTAAAAACATGTATATAATAGAAATAGTTGCATATAGGAAAGGCAATATAAGTTCTTCTTTAGATGAAGCAATCTGAAAAATTTACAATTAATTTTATTACGTTTTAGGCTAATAACACAGATTAGAAATTGATTTATACAAATAAAAGTTAGAAGATTTTTAAATTTTTAACGTTCTTAACTATACTTATGATTTTGTACTGTACGTTATATATAATTTTGTTAAAAATTTTGTTATATATAAAATTTGAGTAAAAGGCTACAAAAGAGATGCGTTATTGATGTAATAAAGAAAAGTAATAGACTGGAATTGTTAAGTGTCAAAAATAATTGAGGAAAATGAGAACTGTTTTTATCGTGTTTTTTTTTATTTTGTCGATTCTTATCAAAAGGTAATTAAAAATATTGAATTAAATAATGATAAAATAATGATTTAAATATTAAAATAATAATAAAATCACATAATAAAATAAAACAGCCGTATTTTGTACATTTTATGTGCTCGTCGTTTATCGAGCTCGTTCGAATAATACATTTAACAATAAAATAAAAAACTTACCCAAAACAAATTAAGGCTCACCGAGATTACTCCAAATGCTATTAAACAGCACATCATTTTTTCACAACTATATTGCAAGCGTTTCGATAATCTTCCAAATGAAAATTTAATATAATATGCCTATATGAAACACACACGTGTATTATCAAATTTATACAAACTTCATAGCTTGTCGATGAATATCCACAGCACAAATTAAACCCCTAAATATTAAAATCTGTTTTTTAAGGTTAATATTTTGTAGCATTGTGATGCTCATTGCACGTTCGATACGATAACTATAAATAATATTTCTGTTGTAATACTGTTATACTAAAGCACTTATAAAACTGAACATCATTTTTGGTTAAATTTAAATTGCTTTATTTGAAAATAATAAATTATTCAAATCTTTATTGTAATTTTTGCATTTATACCAATACCTGGCAATTTTAAACATTCCACAAACATGTTGAAGATATGTAAACAATATTGTTCCTATCGCTAATGCAGCAGTTCCTCCGATGCAAACTGTTACAATGATGTGCAGTAGTATCAAATAAAAATATTTTTCTTGATCGATCAAATACTCTGTCCTGATAAGCAAGTGATGTGCTCTTGATGTGTTTGACGATAAAATAATGTTCAAAATATCTGACCAAAATGACGCAACGATAAAAGCCATTATGCCAATAGCAGCAAATACTAAGAAAGTGTTAAATATAGAATTGTTATTTAAATTTATGCCATATAAATTTTCTAAATTAATTTATGCATTATCTTATCATTTAGATGCATATGTATATATTCGAGAAAAAAATCCATATATAATTGAATATAAATACATATACAGGATGGCCCACGTAAAGTGTTACAAATTTATATCTCGGAAACGAAACAATTTAGAGAAAAATGTTTCAGACAAAAGTTGTATGGTTTCAAGGGCGACGTAAGATGCCATTAATTTGTCTTTGAAGAGTCATCTGAAGATCACGTGAATATGACTTCCAACTTTTTAAATGGGACTCTCTATATACTTTTACATATTCTTATAGCTCATCTCAAGAGCTTTCCGAAACACTATAATTAAGTTAGTTTTCGTTAAGTATTTTCGAGTTATGAGACTTAAAATTATTTCTTAATTTTACATAAACCGTAATTTGCAATTAACAATTACAGTTTTTTGTTCAAAACAATTATGTGTTTTCTTTACACCAATTAATTCCTCTCATTATTTTGTACATAAAAGTATTGAGGTAAAGTAATCGAAAAATAGATATTTTACAAGATATTTTACAGTTTATGTAAAATTAAGAAACGATTTCAAGCCTCATAACTCAGAAAGTACTTAATGATAACTAACTTAATTATAGTATTTTAAAAAGCTCTCGAGATAAGTTACAAGAATATGCAGAAGCATATAGGGTGTCCCATTTAAAAAGTTGGAAGTGATATTCACGTGATCTTCAGATGACTCTTCAAGGACAAACTAATGGCATCATCTTACGTCTTCCTTGAAACCATACAACTTTTGTCTGAAACATTTTTCTCTAAATTGCTTCGTTTCCGAGATATAAATTTGTAACATTTTATGTGCGCCACCCTGTATATAATTACCTAAAATATGTCCATGTATATTATCATTTTCTTATGTAATCTTTGTTTATATGTTATTCGAAATTTGAATGCTACTTATTATTGATTATTATATACATAGAGATTGATAAAAGATGGAGAGGTGAGTGCGGTAGACAAAGAATAAATGATGGAAAAAGGAAGAGTGAGGATAAAGAATGGAGATGTATTTAGAATTTTAAACAACAATGAAAATTTTTTAGGGATGAAAAGAGAAAAATAGGATATAGAAATGAAACATATTTTGTATATAAAAGATAGAAAGTTGCATACGCGAAGAAATTAGAAAGTTAATTTATTGTAATAATAATTAGAAGATAAAATAAAATATAATAAAATAAGTTAAGTAAAATAAATTAGTGTAAAAGCGCACATAAAAAAAAGAAAACTGAAAGGAAGATTTACAGTGTCTGTAATCCTAAGGAAAATTAATAATTCATGTAGTTAAAAAGTTGGAATTTGGAAATCTATTGGAATTTCGAAGTCAATTTTCCGATTTATTATAGCATATAGCGATAAAAGCTAACAAATTATTGCAGCAAACTATAGTGATCACTGGCGATTTTTTTAGATAACACCAAGCTTTGAATGTACGATATCTACTTGGCTGTACATATAAATTGGTGTTTAAAAAATTATTTTCATCGCCGTTGCTTAGAAATAATAATGTTTGAAAAGCTTCAACAATTTAATAGCATATGCTGTGAAATTTAAGCTGCAGCTTTCGCTACACTACTATAAACTATAGACTTAGAAAAAAATCCTTGTAAAGAAAAATATTTAAATAATGTAAAATATATGAAGCAACATTTTTAAAAAAATTAAAAGTAAATTGCCTTTTCTAAGTGGTAAATTATTCATATATCAGATCTTACATTTATCATATACGATCACGATGCCAATGAATATCGTTAGAAAAAGATGCCTCATTATATCTGCGCGCGCGGGCAAATACACATTCGTCCGATTTTATTTAATATTTCAATTAACTTAACAATATGAAATATTTTATGCAAATTGTTGCATGTAATATCGTATATTTGTAAAATTTATAAGTATATAATATTTATAAATATTTTCACAATATATTTTTATTATATATATAAAGAGACATAGCTAATGAGAGCAATAATAGAATAATAACTGTGTTTAAATATGTACTCAATAAAAACAGATTTATGCTTTAAAATTGTTGCTTGTGCAAGACAATAGAGCAGTAAAAATGCAACATATTTTTTGCTTCAATAAATACAATTAAACATAATATAAAGCTTTCATATGCTCTTTCTAAAATAGATGTATGTCTTTTTATTCTAGATAATATTGTCGATAACATAACTATAAGTGTTGGTAATATACCGACGCTTTTAGTTATGGTCCAATGAAGGCGTTTTCCCATCACAGTTCAGCTGCGACTCCGACATCCTCTTAACAGTTCTTATTAAAAATAAAGTCTAAAATATTTGCAAATACAAAAGTATTATCTTACCTGTAAGTACAATTGTAAAACGTTTGCCATTATATCCATATTCATTTATAATAGCAATTTCATTTTCATCTTTTAATTCATTATATATATGCAGTAGTTGCTCCAATAGATCCTTCATCTATTGTTTTAATAACTTTATATATCGATTCATGTACAAAAACAATAATGCCAGAAAACGGCGTAAAAATTTATTCAATAAAAATGTTGATCGGAAGAATAAATTATTAACTTATAAAGTTAGCAAATGCATAAGCCACCAATTCTGTAAGTTATCAACTTACAGATTTAACAGAGAACATGTTGTATTTTATTACAAAGAGAGCAAAGACAAATACGGAAGCTAGAATTTTGATAATGAAATCCGGAGTACATCTTTGTGAAATAAATATCATACACTGCAAACAATAAATTTATCTATGAGTATACATTAAAAAATTATTTTTCTAAATCTCATACGCGTATATATACATAAACACAAATGTTGTCACAAATACATGATGTATTTTATATTATAAAAGCTTAAAAAACTAATAACATGATTTGTAATAGTATTCTATTAATAATAAAAATATTTGAGGAAATGAATTTAAAATAAGTAAAAAGTTATAATTTATATATAATTATAATATAATTATAAAACATAACAACTTTATCCTAATTTAAATTGTGATGTTGAAATTTCATAAATATGAGAAAAAATATTGCTTTCCAATAATTTATCATGTGATAATATTATTATTATTTATTAGAATTTACCTGAAATATAAGGTTTGTCGTCAAAATACTAGACAGGAAAATAAATTGAAGTCGAGTAAGATTCGATTGTTTTCTAGGCCACAAACCAATAGCGAGCAAAAGAATTTTATTCAGTTTAAAATATTCAGTCTCGAAGTTGATCATTTCTTTGCGAGAACGGAGATGTATATGACTGACAAAGTAACTCAGGAGAATTACGTTTATCCCTATTTTTTCCCTTTAATCGATTAACTATTATTTATTTTTTTTTCTCTAGTGTAAATTTTAACACAAATTACTTAATTTCGTATAATACAAAACAACGGCATAAGGTACTACCTTGAGGTCAGTCGCATTTTCTTAACAGTATTTTTATATAGTTTCTAATTACGCGATCGATAAGGGAGGATATTTGAAGGGTGGAAATTGAGCGAATGACTTTTTCCCATAACAAAGGGGGAAAAAATATTCGTGGAGGAGATTATTTACGCGAAAGTCGCGCATGCGTAATCACCATTATTTTTTGTACCAGAAAATTATATGTTCAGTTTATTGCGCGCATTTGTAACATACGTTTGCTCCTCGAGAGGAACGCACAACTTTGAGGTTTTTAACAAAGTCAAGCTTGCTATAACTCTTATTATTTTAAAAACAAATTTGTTAGATCTGCATACGGCATTTTTAAATCTTGCATTAGATATTAATATAATAAAGATTTTGATATTCTAGAAGTTAAATATGTCACTTCTCTCTTATGAAATTGATAGCAATATCATTTTTTACTCTCAGATTTTCAGATTTTTGTATTATTGCTTTTATTCTATACTTTCGATTCTTACAACATCTTATATTAATAATTAAAATTAAGAAAAACTGAAAATGTGAATTATACATATAAGAGATTTAGAGATATGTATTTTATAAAGCTCTTATTATTATTTCTTTATTTTTTAATTGATAAAATTTTTTATTTATAAATTCAATATATCGAAGTGTGCATATAATTTAATCTACAATAATCGAGTATTTGTAACATACAAAAACAATTTATATAAAAGAAATATGGTAACAAAATCTGTCATGAGACTTGTACATTTGTCAATAATTCTCATAAAATATAAATTTAATGTGCATATATATATATGTCAAAAATTTCTTTCATAAATTTTATTTTTAATGAAAAATTATTTTAATAAATGTTTGTCTGTACATTTAATAATTATTAAAATGATAAGCTATCCTAAAATATTATATATTTTAGTAATATCATGTAAAATTGAACATAATATAGAATAATTAAATATTTACAATATTTTATTTACTTGACATGCATGTTAATCTCAATGGATTTTATATATATATGTGTTCGAAGTATCGTCTTATGAGGCGATTCCCGTGGCGACATCCGAAGGACTTGGAACAAAAGACCTTACGCATACCCCTTCGCACACATGTCTTTTCGTTACACATGTCCCTTTGGTCACACATGTTTCTCTACCACTTTAGTCTTGTCTTGTACCGTGGACACGCTCACATCGTGCCGTTTACTAATAAAGCAATGATTACGGAATCTCGGCATATTTAATCTCATTCCACTCCCTGTATATTGTCCCTGCATCGCGGCCTCATCTTCATATTAACAGGTTATGGGCCCAGGCTTTATCGCAATCAAGGGACAAATTAATTAACAGGCAGTAGACGCCAGACAAAGAGGAAACATGGCGTCATCGTCCGCAAGGATCGAGTTGCTTAACAAAGAAAATTTCGACACGTGGAAAATCCAAATGGAGGCGCTTCTCATCAAAAACGATGCGTGGAATTATGTGAACGGAAATACAGTCAAACCGGAACTTATCGCCGGGAGCCAGGAGTCTGCTATAGAAGTGAGAAAATGGGAAACGGCAGATCAGAAGGCCAAGTCCGACATAATTCTTTCAATAAGCCCGACTGAATTAAAACAGGTGAAAGGCTGCGGTACATCGAGAGAAGTGTGGAATAAGCTTTCGTCAATTTATCAATCCAAAGGTCCTGCCAGAAAAGCCACACTGTTAAAGCAGTTAACGGTACAGCGAATGGGAGACGACGAAGACGTTCGCGAATATTTGTGCAAGTTTTTCGATACAGTGGACAAGCTCAGTGACATGGAAGTGAATATCAATCCCGATTTGTTAACAATGATGTTATTGTATAGTCTTCCACAGAATTTCGAAAACTTTAGATGTGCTATCGAATCGCGCGACGAATTGCCGGAAACGCTTCGCATCAAGATCATAGAAGAACACGACGCCAGGAAGAACGACGCACGTGCTTCGTCCCAGGGCGCCATGATCGCCAGACGCTTCGATAAAAATAGGAGTATGAAAAGCAAAAAGGAAAATACATCGCAGAAGAAACCTTTCAAATTTAAATGTCATCGATGTGGAAAAATCGGACACAAGGCATCCGATTGTTATTCGAAAATAGAGACAGATAAAGCGTCTAAAGGGAGCTCCGAAAAAGGAAAGATGGCTGACGACGTGTGTGTCTTCGCATGTGCACCAATGAAGATCCTGGATGAAGCGGAAGTGTTCCAGGCGAAGGAAGCTACCCAAGACAAACCATGGTGTTTAGATAGCGGATGTACCTCTCATTTATGTAGCGATTCGGATATGTTTACGCATCTTGCAAAGATCAAGGATAACAAGTTAAATCTTGCAAATAATTCGTCAACGATGATAACCGGAAAAGGAACTGTACGTCTCGAAGCGGAAGTCGATGGTAATTCTAAACATGTTAATTTGAGAAATACCCTACACGTGCCCGATCTGCGCACAAATCTATTGTCGGTAAGCAAGATTACCGACGGAGGATTCAAAGTTATCTTTGAAAAGAAATCGGCAAAGATTATCGACCGTGACGGAGTCACAAGACTCGCGGCTAATCGTATCGACGGACTGTATTATCTACAGGAAGGTAGACATGATTGCCGGGCTGCGGGTGTAAATAAATTCGATCGAACCTTCACTGAATCGTCGACGGAAATATGGCACCGCAAGATGGGTCATCTTAATATAGGAGACCTTTTAACGTGCAACCACGAAGGAATTGTACGCGGTATGAAAATCGTAGACGCCGAACGCGATTTCAAGTGTGAAATATGTATTCGCGGTAAGATGACGAAGACTACATTCCCAAGGAAATCAAACAGAAAGACTGAACTCTTGGAATTAATACATTCAGATGTATGCGGCCCCATGAAGGCTGAATCGATCGGAAAGTCAAGATATTTTGTGACTTTTATTGATGATCATTCGCGATGGTGTGTGGTTCGAATGCTCAAAAGCAAAAGCGAAGTATTTAACGCCTTCAAGGAATTCAAGGCATTAGTCGAAAATCAGACCGGACGCAAGATCAAGTGCTTGCAATCGGACAATGGCAAGGAATACGTCAATCAGGAGTTCGACGATTTTCTAAAGAGAGAAGGAATCAGACGCAGACTGACGGTGACATACACTCCGGAACAGAATGGAGTTGCAGAGAGGAAGAATAGGACCCTCGTTGAAATGGCCCGATGTCTGCTGATTCAATCGAATCTCTCACCATCATTCTGGGGAGAGGCCATTAATAAATTACATACGCAACAGATGCCCGACTAGTAGTCTCGGCGGAAAAACCCCGCACGAAAAATGGACAGGCGACACGCCGAGCGTCGGATACTTTCAAGATTTTGGCTGCTCAGTGTATTTCCTGGATAGAAATCCGAACAAGGAAAAATTCCAGTCACGATCCAAAAAGGGGATCTTCGTCGGATACGCTGAGAACTCTAAGGCATATAGGATATGGATTCCGGACGAACACCGAATAGACATTACGAGAGACGTAGAATTCATGGAAGTGCCGGAATCATCGAGCCAAAAAGGCAACGAACGCTATCTTGACAAAGAACTCACCAACGATCGAACAGAAGTCGAGTTTCCAATAGTAAGTGAAAGAAATGAAGACCGGGAAGACGACGTTGATGACACGATCGAGGGCGACCATTCGGTTGAAGACCGGGAGGTTCAAGCTCCCGACTTACGGATTGAAGCAAGAAGAGGACGTGGAAGACCTCGAAGAGTGATGATCGGATTCAGGGGAAGACCCAAGAAACAGTATCAAGTTACAGGCAACTACGCTGAAGAAACAGAACTCACTATGACCGATGAAGCAGACGATGCTGACGAGACAGAATTCGCAGCGACCAACGAAACAGAGGATTTCGAGTTCTCGTATCTCGCTGAAGTATCAATCAGCGAATGCTTGAAAGGGCCTGAAGCGGCTGAGTGGATCGACGCGATGGCTGTAGAAATGAAAGCTATCATCAGAAATGATACCTGGACGCTAGTGGATCGCCCCAAAGAGCGCGAGGTTATCGGCAGCCACATCGTATTGCGTAATAAGATGAATCAAGACGGATCTCTAGAACGAAGAAAGGCTCGTATAGTTGCTCGTGGTTTTTCACAACGCCCCGGCATAGACTTCAATGAGACTTTTGCACCGGTCGCACGTATCAGTTCAATTTGCATCATATCTGCTCTGGCGGTTCAACACAACTTGAAGATACACCAGCTGGATATCACGACGGCATATCTATATGGGGAACTTGAAGAAAAGGTTTACATGGAAGTTCCAAAATTTTCTGTTCAGATTCTAGAGAGAATAATTGCCTCCGAGAAAGACAAAAGAATCGTCGAAAAGGCTGAAAACATGCTATGCAAGTTAAAGAATGGAGATAAGGTTTGCTTATTAAGAAAGGCTCTCTATGGACTCCGACAAGCCGGTCGTCGCTGGCATGTAAAATTGTCTCAGGAGATTAAAAATTTTGGATTAAAGCAATCTTCAGCCGACCCCTGCGTATTTTTCGCTGGAAAGGGCGAAGACATAATTATCGTCGCCGCGTATGTCGACGACATCCTGGTGGCTTCTCGAGATCCATCCAAAGTTGCCAAATTTACTAAATATCTTTCTAGCAAATTTCAGGTCAAGGATCTAGGAGAATTAAAATACTGTCTAGGCATCGAGTTTTCTCGAAGCAAAGACAACGTTACGATGATCCAGAGAGGATACATTAAAGATATTCTAAATCGATTCGGAATGGAGGATTCCAAGCCCGTAGCTACCCCGCTAGACAACAGTATCAAACTGAAGAAAAGCGAGAACTGCCCTGCGACACACCTACCATTTCGAGAACTAATTGGTATGTTAACGTACTTAGCTACCTGTACTAGACCCGATATCGCTTTTGCAGTGAGTCATCTCAGCCAGTTCAACAACTGTTTCGACGAAACGCATTGGAAAGCAGCGAAACGCGTATTGCGTTATTTGAGAGGAACTTCGAATGTTGGTCTATCCTTCAGAAGAACCAAGGAGCATCTCTCAGGTTACACGGACGCTGATTGGGCCAACAATTTAGACGATCGACGTTCCTACACAGGTTACGCGTTCTTATTGAACGGATGTCCCGTATCTTGGGAATCCAGGAAGCAGAGGACCACAGCTCTTTCGTCGACTGAGGCCGAGTACATGGCCATTTCAGACACCGTGAAGGAAGCAGTATATCTTCGAAGGTTCATTGACGATCTTGGTTTCGAACTGCCGACAAAGTTAAAGATCTTCAATGACAATAATGGAGCTCGGAAATTGGCCGAAAATCCGGTATTTCATGCCAGAACAAAACATACCGATGTTCGTCATCACTATGTACGTGAAGTATTGCAAAGTGGAGCTCTGGAAATAGATTACACCCCTATGGAATTAAGGGCGGCTGATGTTCTCACCAAGGGTCTCGCTAGACTGAAGCACGAGAAGTGTCTCGATCTTTTAGGTCTTAAACGCATTTGATTATGTTTTTTTTTCTTTGGTAGGATATCGCACGCTCATCGAGGGGAAGTGTTCGAAGTATCGTCTTATGAGGCGATTCCCATGGCGACATCCGAAGGACTTGGAACAAAAGACCTTACGCATAAACCTTCGCACACATGTCTTTTCGTTACACATGTCCCTTTGGTCACACATGTTTCTCTATCACTTTAGTCTTGTCTTGTACCGTGGACACGCTCACATCGTGCCGTTTACTAATAAAGCAACGATTACGGAATCTCGGCATATTTAATCTCATTCCACTCCCTGTATATTGTCCCTGCATCGCGGCCTCATCTTTATATTAACAATATGTGTAACAATATACATTCAATTAAATAATCTTTGCAGCTTTTACTTTTCTATATAGAAAAATTTCTTATTCTAAATTATATTCTAACCTGTATGTTAAAAATAGAGGTTTCATTTTTCTGATATATAAAAAATATATTAATAAAATATAGTTTTTTTATTATAACTTATTATAACTTTATTATAACTTTATTATAACTTATATTCTCTCTTATAAGTAAACTCAAATACTTATACATATATTATATTTATTTAAAAATGTAACATTTGTGTGTGTATGTGTGTGTGTGTGTGTGTGTGTGTGTGAGAGAGAGAGAGAGAGAAATATTATGTACTGTCTGATGATATCGAAATTCGAGACAATTAAAATAATTAAATATTTATTATTTATTAATTTATACTTTTCTATTTATTTTATACATTCTTTATTGTACTTGATATAATCATTGTATTCAGTTTAATTAGATTGCATTTAACGTTGATATTTTGAATTATATTTTGAATTATATTAAAAATAATTTTTACTACTTTTTACGTTTTTTAGTTTTCTAGGAAAAATCTTCAGCTCTAAACTGTACGTTAAAAATAGAAGTTTATATTTTTCTAATATATGAACAATATATGAGACTAATTACATGAAAAATATATAAATTGTTTCTCTATTATAACTCTCCATGCTCTCTCTTGGATTGGATTTATTTAATTTAAATTATTATGGTCTCATCATCGTGTAGAATATATAACTGTAAAATAAGATACTGAAGTCTTCACTAGCTGGAACGGAAGATATCTCATTATTATATATTATTTATTATTATTATACAGGGTGTGTAAAAACATTTCGCAGTCCCGAAATGTGAGGGTAGATTGGCTCAATTTAAGAAAGAAATTTGCGATATTTAACGAAAAATTAATTAAAGAAGATTGGCCAAAGCGCGTGGCTAGAAGTGCGCAAAATAGTATAGGACCTTCTTAATTTGAGCCAATCTACCTTCACACTTCAAGACTGCAAAAAATTTATGGACACCCTGTATATATTATTGTTTTTCCTCTTATACCGTAGCAAAACATTCTATAGACGCAACAAAGAATCCACCGACGTTTAAAGTGAAGTTTCTCGTATTTCTTTGTAACAGGAACAATATTGTTCTTTGTATGTACAATGGTGCTATATACCATCGAACGTTATACCTAGAAAAAAAATATAAGTGATGAATGTTTATATAAAATCTTTGCGAAATCTTTGTGAAATTCATCGCGAAATGTCCTTGTTAGAATGAACTTCAACATCTAGTTTGCTGAACAGAGAGTTGTGTGTGTGTGATCTCTACATTTAATATAATATTCTAAATCTTCATGCATGCTATTTTGCAATGACGTTTCTTACGCGGTAACAAATACGTGATGATTGTGATTTGTTACAGACTGACCGATATAGTTGGCTAGGAACATATATAAAACAGCGACAGTTACATAAAGAAGGGGCATTACTAATTCTTTTATATTCTCTTTAGATGATGAAACCTGAAAAATCTAAAACAAATAACAAAACTAAGATATAATCTAAGATATTTCACGGTGATTATACAATTCGATCAAAACAATTCCTTTTCTCAAAAGAAAGAGATGATCAATGCCTGTATTTTGAATGCCAAACATGATTCTTATATTGCTATATCGCTTCATGATTTTGAGAAATTTGCGATTAAAGTTGAAAATAATATTTTATTTATATTTATTTTCAGTTATTTATTTTTATTTGTATGTATTTTATTATGTTATAGCTGTTTTATGTGACATATTGGAGAAATTTTGTTGCAAATAAAATTGCAAATAAAATATGTTGTTAAGAAAATTGAAACCATATTTAGTGTAAAAAAAAAGTTTTAAAAATTAATATTCTTTTTCTTAAATTTTTTTAATGAAAATTATAGAAGGTTACTTAAAGCATATATTTGAGATAAAAAGCGGAAAACTTACTCGAAACAAATTAAGGCTCACCGAGGCTACTCCAAGTGCTATTAAACAGAACATCATCATCTCAAAACTGGATAGCAAATGTTTGGATAATCTTTAAAAGTAATAATTTGTTATTATGTGTACATAAGTACATATGTATATTATCGAGTATACATCAACCTCATAGCTTGTCGGTGAATATCCACAGCGCAAATTAAACCCTTAAGTATCAAAATATCTTTTTGATCAATATTTTGTAACGTATTGATGTTTATTGAACGTTCGATGCGGTAGCTATAATGTTTGCATTGTAATTATAAACAGGAATTTAACAAATGAAACATTTTTGATGTCAAGTCTAAATTATTTTGTTCAAATAGTCATGTGAAAATGATGAATTACATGAATCTGTATTTTCGTGTCCACACCTGGCAATTTTAAACATTCCGCTAGTATGTTGAAAATACGTAATGAGCATTGTTCCTACCGCTAATGTTACAATCGTTCCGATACAACACGATGCAATGAAGTGAAATTGTATCAAGTAAAAGTATTTCTCTTGATCGATAAAATATTCCGTTACGATTAGCAAATGATGGGATCTTGATGCGTTTGTCGGTAAAATCATATTGAAAATATCCGACCAAAACGACGCAATAATAACAGTAAATATACTGCAAACAGCAAGAACTAAAAAATTTTTTTAAATATAATTGGTATTTAAATTTCTGTCATGTGAGTTTCTCAAGTTAATTTATACGCTGTCATTCTCATCTATATATATTATAATTGAAACTTTATAATATTCTTTCGTTAAATTATTTATTAATTTTTATCTTACAATTATTATAATTGTAAACTTTTTTTTATTTTTGAGATTTAAAAATATTTGTTATTAATTATTACATATATAGAAAAATTATGATAATTTGTCGAATATAATTTTTTAATTTTTCAAAAGTGAAATCTTGTACATTTCTTACATATTAGAAAAATATATGTATATAACCGTGCTTACTAAAAAGATCTTCTTACCTGTAAGTGCAACGGTATAATGTTTGCCATTACATCCATATTCGTTTATAATAGCAATTTCATTTTCGTCACTTAATTCATTGCATGTATGCAACAGTTGCTCCAATAAATTCTTCATCTATTTTATCAATTTTAAATAATTTTTTATACATAATACATATTGTAATGTCAGAAAAAATTGCATAAAAAATTCGCCAACTTTGTTCTGTCTGATAAGTAAAGCTATTAATTGATGAAGCTATCAACTGTTTAAGTAATCAATTGTCTATGAGATTGCTTTCATGGTAACAACAGTTACATTATTGTTGGAAACACACATGATAGCAATTTATAATTTTTATAATTATATTACTCAACATTAATATCATTAACTATTATGATATGATTTATTATATTTAGTTATCTGGATGTATAAGTCTTATTTAATTCTGTAAAATATTAACTTACAATTTTGATATTAACGTAGAACATGTCGTACTTTATCACAAAGAGAGTAAAGAAAAATACAGAAGGTAAGACTTTGATGATGAGAGTCAGGGTACATCTGTGTGAGATAAATATTGTATACTGCAAATAGTAATTTTACGTACAAACTTGCATTAAAAAATTATCATTTTAATGTACATCTACTTATGCATACGCATATGAACATATAAATTATGTAATTTATATTATTTAAGAAAAATGATAATATTTTTTTTTGATAATATTTTGACAGAATTCTATTTCTAATCTCAAATAAAACTATTCATTCTGTATGTGTGTGCATAGTTAACAATTCCACACTAAATATAAATTGCAATATTTAAATTTTATGGGAAAATATATTACTTTGCAATATAATTAATTAAATATCATAATATTATTATAATTTATTACTAGAATTTACCTGAAATATAACGTATGTCGTCAAAATACTAGACAATAAAATAAATTGAAATCGAGTAAAATTCGATTGTTTATAAGGCCATAGGCCAAGAATAAGTAGAAGAATTCTGTTCAGACTAAAGTACTCAATTTCGATGTTGATCATTTCTTTGTAAGGTCTAGAATGTGACTGGTGAAAAGAATCAACAAGAGTTATGTTTATCCCCTCCTTTCTCCATTGATTGATCAATTATTATTTACTTCTCTTCTTTAGTGTAAATTTTAGCACAAATTACTTAATTTCGTATAATATAAGGACATAAGATAAAACCCTTAGATTAGAATATTTGCATTTTCTCAATAATGTTTCTCGGAATAAAGACTCGAATTATGCGATCAATTTGATAAAAGAGGCAATTGAGCAAATGTCTCTTTCTCATAAGAAAAGAAGAAAAAAATATTCGTTGAGAAAATTATTTATCCCAAAGTTGCGCAAGCGTATTCGCACTATTTTTGTACCACATTTTCATCATGTTTCATTCTATTGTGCGCATTCATAATATACGTTTGCTTCTCGAGAAGAGTATACAACTTTGAGCTTTTCAATATCGAGTCTATCTATAGTAGAACTTGTAATATTTTTGTAGAAAAGTTGATTATAGATTTGTATATGATGTTTTTCTGTTAGATTAGGTCATAATTTGATTTTGTTGTAAACTTTAAAAATTATTTATTTTGTGATATTATTGTATTTCAAATTAATAATACTTTAGTCATTTTTTAATAATTTTTAAATGAAAATTTAATAGAATTATAATAATATTATTAAATTTTCAGCATTAATGCGTCATTGTCATTGATCAGCATCATCGAAGAAACTGCTGAAGATCAACAACGTCACCAAAGAGGTTTAATTATTTTCTCGATGTCATTCTTGTTTTATTATTACATCATCTAAAAGATTATTTGTTTCGTAGAATATGGTCAAATGTTGAATAAATCAAGAGATTAATTGTTTGACCTATTATAAATAATATCTATTCCACATAAAAATTATGAGCAATATGAGAGAGTCTGATTTGTTCTAAACCATTAAAAAATTTCGAAGAATGAATTTAATGAGTGATGGTTTTTTTGACCATATTAAATAATAGTAATATATATACAAATACATATATAAATTATAGAATTTCAATTTTATGCAATATAAATTTAAAAATAAAATATATTATTTATAAATTTAAATATATTAATATATTATTATTATATATTTAAATATATTAGTATAATTATAAAGATGATATAATTTACTTTTTCGATAATTGTCCAAATAATAATTTATTCTCACTTTCAGATGTATTAATAGATGTGCCTAGCAAACTGTCGATTAGAGACTGGAATAAGGATCAAGATTTGCAATATATAAATAAAGAGTGAATTGTCATCACATATTATCTAGAAAAAGAAGAAAAATAGCCTTTACTGCAGTTTTTCAAAATTACTTTTTTACATACTTCAATTATTAGCAATTATATATTTCAATTATTGACAACAGCAACTTCATAAACAGGTGACTACTGAGTGTAAATATTATATATGTGTATGTGTGTGCGTTTATGCATGCATGCATGTGTACATGTATCAGTATAATGCGGGTGATCTGACTCGTACTGTAACGTTTCAACCGAAAGGAATATTTTTGTACCAGCAAAAAATTTAATTTTTTAATTTTTATTTTTATGACACCTTATAACATATGTATTTGCAGAAGGACGATATCGATAAATAAGTACCTCAAATCCTTTATTTGCCGAGAACAGTACCAATGTTGGCTTGATAAAAGGTTACATTTTTTAAAGTTTCATAATATAACAGTATTTTTAGCATTTTTAATTGCATTTTTATATATTAACTTATATTTATATTTTTTAAATTATTTTTTTATAATAACTTTTAATATTAATATTAACAATATATCATTAAGATCATCAAGTAATAACGAGATTAAAAGAATGGAATACTGATACGTGACAGAAAGAGTTAAAATAATTTACATAATTATGATATAAAATAATTTTATTACGTTTATCACTATTCCTCATGCTTCCGCTAACAAGTTATATCTATTTGAAAAACATATACTTATAATACTTGAAATATTAGTCCGGATAAAGAAAAAAACATATAGTTTCCTGGCACGGATTTTTAACGATTAGTAGAAAAAGCTCGTCCATCTTCTTATTTTCGCTCTGAATCGAATTGTTCGAGTAACTATATATGTTTGGGAAAATATATTCATTTTCACTAGTAATGCAATTTTCGTCAACCAAGCGATCACCGAGCGGACAACGGAGCTGAATACAAGTAATAGTCATACATCTCATGTGGAACGATATAATTTTTATTATCACTTCCTTTATTGGAATTATTCTTGTTGCTATTTATATAATTTTCATACGAGTTATACCGCATTAATTCTGCTTTTTTGCCACAGTTTTTCTTGATATCTTCCTCAAATTTGTATCGCTCTGTCGAATTATTGTCTCCGTTATCATCACTCACAGAACTTGATTGAAATATTAAAAACGAAAGGATAAGTAGAAGTGTATAATTAGAAAACGTTAAATTTTCCCCACACATCGTTGATTTTTTAACGAGTCAAATTTATTGGGAAAAGTTAACTTATTATACAGCAGTCACTGTGATATGTGAAGTACGAAAGTTCAAACACGAATCTCATCAGACTGTGACGTTTCGGCCGATAGAAATACTCTTGCCCCAGTAAAGAAGTTAATATTGTAAAACTTAGGAAGAAGTTAATATTATAAAACTTACTATAAAACTACGAAAAATATATATTTGCAGAGATCAAAAAAATATTAATAAATAAGCAACTCAGTAGATTAATAGATAAGGCAATATTCCTTGATTTGTCAAAAAAAATATCATTAACTTGATAAGCTTATTTTTTTTAAATTCCATTTTTTAATTTAATTTTTAAAGTTTACGGCTTAAATAATATGAGACATAATAAAACTGTTCGTTTATTTAATTTTATCAAGTTTATAAATTTTTTTAATTATTAATATATACAAAGTGTTGCTAAAATATTATATTTTTTAGTAATATCGTGTAAAATTTAACATAATATAGAATAATTAAATTTTTAGTATATTTTATTTACTTGACATGCATGTCAATCTCAATGGATTTTATATATATATGTGTAACAATATACATTCAATTAAATAATCTTTGCAGCTTTTACTTTTCTATATAGAAACATTTCTTATTCTAAATTATATTCTAACCTGTATGTTAAAAATAGAGGTTTCATTTTTCTGATATATAAAAAATATATTAATAAAATATAGTTTCTTTATTATAACTTATTATAACTTTATTATAACTTTATTATAACTTATATTCTCTCTTATAAGTAAACTCAAATACTTATTCATATATTATATTTATTTAAAAATGTAACATTTGTGTGTGTGTGCGTGTGCGTGTGCGTGTGCGTGTGCGTGTGCGTGTGCGTGTGCGTGTGCGTGTGCGTGTGCGTGTGCGTGTGCGTGTGCGTGTGCGTGTGCGTGTGCGTGTGCGTGTGCGTGTGCGTGTGCGTGTGCGTGCGTGCGTGCGTGCGTGCGTGCGTGCGTGCGTGCGTGCGTGCGTGCGTGCGTGCGTGCGTGCGTGCGTGCGTGCGTGTGTGTGTGTGTGTGTGTGTGTGTGTGTGTGTGTGTGTGTGTGTGAGAAAGAGAGAGAGAGAAATATTATGTACTGTCTGATGATATCGAAATTCCAGACAATTAAAATAATTAAATATTTATTACTTATTAATTTATACTTTTATATTTATTTTATATATTCTTTATTGTACTTGATATAATCATTGTATTCAGTTTTATTATATTGCATTTAACGTTGATATTTTGAATTATATTTTGAATTATATTAAAAATAATTTTTACTACTGTTTACGTTTTTTAGTTTTCTAGGAAAAATCTTCAGCTCTAAACTGTACGTTAAAAATAGAAGTTTATATTTTTCTAATATATGAACAATATATGACACTAATTACATGAAAAATATATAAATTGTTTCTCTATTACAACTCTCCATGCTCTCTCTTGGATTGGATTTATTTAATTTAAATTATTATGATCTCATCGTGTAGAATATATAACTGTAAAATAAGATACTGAAGTCTTCACTAACTGGAACGAAAGATATCTCATTATGATATATTATTTATTATTATTATACAGGGTGTGTAAAAACATTTCGCAGTCCCGAAATGTGAGGGTAGATTGGCTCAATTTAAGAAAGAAATTTGCGATATTTAACGAAAAATTAATTAAAGAAGATTGGCCAAAGCGCGTGGCTAGAAGTGCGCAAAATAGTATAGGACCTTCTTAATTTGAGCCAATCTACCTTCACACTTCAAGACTGCAAAAAATTTATGGACACCCTGTATATATTATTGTTTTTCCTCTTATACCGTAGCAAAACCTTCTATAGACGCAACAAACAGTCCACCGATGTTTAAAGTAAAGTTTCTCGTATTTCTTTGTAACAGGAACAATATTGTTCTTTGTATGTACAATGGTGCTATATACCATCGAACGTTATACCTAGAAAAAAAATATAAGTGATGAATGTTTATATAAAATCTTTGAAATGCATCGCGAAATGTCCTTATTAGAATGAACTTCAACATATTGTTGTTGTTTGCAGTACAGAGAATTGTGTGTGTGTGATCTCGACATTTAATATAATATTCTAAATCTTCATGCATGCTATTTTGCAACGACGTTTCTTACGCGGTAACAAATACGTGATGATTGTGATTTATAATAGTTTGACCGATATAGTTGGCTAGGAACATATATAAAACAGCGGCAGTTACATAAAGAAGAGGCATTACTAATTCTTTTATATTCTCTTTAGATGATAAAACCTGAAAAATCTAAAACAAATAACAAAACTAAGATATAATCTAAGATATTTTACGGTGATTATACAATTCGACAAAACAATTCCTTTTCTCAAAAAAAAAAGATGATCAATGCATGTATTTTGAATGCCAAACATGATTCTTATATTGCTATATCGCTTCATGATTTTGAGAAATTTGTAATTAAAGTTAAAAAAATATTTTATTTATATTTATTTTCAGTCATTTATTTTTACTTGTATGTATTTTATTATGTTATAGCTGTTTTATGTGACATATTGGAGAAATTTTGTTGCAAATAAGATTGCAAATAAAATATGTTGTTAAGATAAATATGTTGTTCAATCTTTAAAAGAAAGAAAAGTAATATTTAAAAAAAAATTAGAAATTGAAACCATATTCAGTATATAAAAAAGATTTAAAAATTAATATTCTTTTTTTTAAATTTTTTAATGAAAATTATAGAAGGTTATTTAAAGCATATATTTGAGATAAAAAGTGGAAAACTTACTCGAAACAAATTAAGGCTCACCGAAGCTACTCCAAGTGCTATTAAACAGAACATCATCATCTCAAAACTGGATAGCAAATGTTTGGATAATCTTTAAAAATAATAATTTGTTATTATGTGTACATAAGTACATATGTATATTATCGAATATACATCAACCTCATAGCTTGTCGGTGAATATCCACAGCGCAAATTAAACCCTTAAGTATCAAAATATCTTTTTGATTAATATTTTGTAACGTATTGATGTTTATTGAATGTTCGATGCGGTAGCTATAATGTTTGCATTATAATTATAAACAGGAATTTATCAAATGAAACATTTTTGCTGTCAAGTTGAAATTATTTTGTTCAAATAGTCATGTGAAAATGATGAATTACATGAATCTGTATTTTCGTGTCCACACCTGGCAATTTTAAACATTCCACAAGTATATTGAAGATACGTAATGAGCATTGTTCCTACCGCTAATGTTACAATTATTCCGATACACCATGATGCAATGAAGTGAAATTGTATCAAGTAAAAGTATTTCTCTTGATCGATAAAATATTCCGTTATGATTAGCAAATGATGGGATCTCGATGCGTTTGTCGGTGAAATCATATTGAAAATATCCGACCAAAACGACGCAATAATAACAGTAAATGTACTGCAAATAGTAAGAACTAAAAAATTTTTTTAAATACAATTGGCATTTAAATTTCTGTCATGTGAGTTTCATAAGTTAATTTACACGCTGTCATACTCATCTATATATGTTATATTTGAAACTTTATAATAGTCTTTCGTTAAGTTATTTATTAATTTTTATTTTGCAATTATTATAATTGTAAACTTTTTTTTAATTTTCGAGATTTAAAAATATTTGTTATTTATTATTACGTATATAGAAAATTTATGATAATTTGTCGAATATAATTTTTTAATTTTCAAAAGTGAAATCTTGTACATTTCTTACATATTAGAAAAATGTATGTATATAACCGTGCTTACTAAAAAGATCTTCTTACCTGTAAGTGCAACGGTATAATGTTTGCCATTACATCCATATTCGTTTATAATAGCAATTTCATTTTCGTCACTTAATTCATTGCATGTATGCAACAGTTGCTCCAATAAATTCTTCATCTATTTTATCAATTTTAAATAATTTTTTATACATAATACATATTGTAATGTCAGAAAAAATTGCATAAAAAAATTTCCCAACTTTGTTCTGTCTGATAAGTAAAGCTATTAATTGATGAAGCTATCAACTGTTTAAGTAATCAATTGTCTATGAGATTGCTTTCATGGTAACAACAGTTACATTATTGTTGGAAACACACATGATAGCAATTTATAATTTTTATAATTATATTACTCAACATTAATATCATTAACTATTATGATATAATTTATTATATTTAGTTATCTGGATGTATAAGTCTTATTTAATTCTGTAAATTATTAACTTACAATTTTGATATTAACGTAGAACATGTCGTAATTTATCACAAAGAGAGTAAAGACAAATACAGAAGGTAAGACTTTGATGATGAGAGTCAGGGTACATCTGTGTGAGATAAATATTGTATACTGCAAATAGTAATTTTACGTACAAACTTGCATTAAAAAATTATCATTTTAATGTACATCTACTTATGCATACGCATATAAACATATAAATTATGTAATTTATATTATTTAAGAAAAATGATAATATTTTTTTTGATAATATTTTGACAGAATTCTATTTCTAATCTCAAATAAAACTATTCATTCTGTATGTGTGTGCATAGTTAACAATTCCACACTAAATATAAATTACAATATTTAAATTTTATGGGAAAATAAATTACTTTGCAATATAATTAATTGATGTCATAATATTATTATAATTTATTACTAGAATTTACCTGAAATATAACGTATGTCGTCAAAATACTAGACAATAAAATAAATTGAAATCGAGTAAAATTCGATTGTTTATAAGGCCATAGGCCAAGAGTAAGTAGAAGAATTCTGTTCAGACTAAAGTACTCAATTTCGATGTTGATCATTTCTTTGTAAGGTCTAGAATGTGACTGGTGAAAAGAATCAACAAGAGTTATGTTTATCCCCTCCTTTCTCCATTGATTGATCAACTATTATTTACTTCTCTTCTTTAGTGTAAATTTTAGCACAAATTACTTAATTTCGTATAATATAAGGACATAAGATAAAACCCTTAGATTAGAATATTTGCATTTTCTCAATAATGTTTCTCGGAATAAAGACTCGAATTATGCGATCAATTTGATAAAAGAGGCAATTGAGCAAATGTCTCTTTCTCATAAGAAAAGAAGAAAAAAATATTCGTTGAGAAAATTATTTATCCCAAAGTTGCGCAAGCGTATTCGCACTATTTTTGCACCACATTTTCATCATGTTTCATTCTATTGTGCGCATTCATAATATACGTTTGCTTCTCGAGAAGAATATACAGCTTTGAGCTTTTCAATATCGAGTCTATCTATAATACAACTTGTAATATTTTTGTAGAAAAATTGATTATAGATTTGTATATGATGTTTTTCTGTTAGATTAGGTCATAATTTGATTTTGTTGTAAACTTTAAAAATTATTTATTTTGTGATATTATTGTATTTCAAATTAATAATACTTTAGTCATTTTTTAATAATTTTTAAATGAAAATTTAATAGAATTATAATAATATTATTAAATTTTTAGCATTAATGCGTCATTGTCATTGATCAGCATCATCGAAGAAACTGCTGAAGATCAACAACGTCACCAAAGAGGTTTAATTATTTTCTCGATGTCATTCTTGTTTTATTATTACATCATCTAAAAGATTATTTGTTTCGTAGAATATGGTCAAATGTTGAATAAATCAAGAGATTAATTGTTTGACCTATTATAAAGAATATCGATTCCACATAAAAATTATGAGCAATATGAGAGAGTCTGATTTGTTCTAAACCATTAAAAAATCTCGAAGAATGAATTTAATGAGTGATGGTTTTTTTGAACATATTAAATAATAGTAATATATATACAAATACATATATAAATTATAAAATTTCAATTTTATGCGATATAAATTTAAATATAAAATATATTATTTATAAATTTAAATATGTTAATATATTATTATTATATATTTAAATATATTAGTATAATTATAAAGATGATATAATTTACTTTTTCGATAATTGTCCAAGTAATAATGTATTCTAACTTTCAGATGAATTAATAGATGTGCCTAGTAAACTGTCGATTAGAGACTGGAATAAGGATCAAGATTTGCAATATATAAATAAAGAGCGAATTGTCATCACATATTATCTAGAAAAAGAAGAAAAATAGCCTTTACTGCAGTTTTTCAAAATTACTTTTTTACATACTTCAATTATTGGCAACAGCAACTTCATAAACAGGTGACTACTGAGTGTAAATGTTATATACAGGGTGTATCAGAGCGACCGTATCAGGCTGGTATTTCGAAAAATACGCATTTACTTGAAAAGTGTTCCGAACAAAAGTTGTAGGACTTTAAGGGGCGCATTACATAGCATGGTTAGTGTGACCTTGAATAGTATTGTTAAGGACACGGAAAAATCAATTAAAAGTTTTTAAATGGAAACCCCTATTTTTTATTGTATATTCTTATAGCTGACCTCGAGAGCTTTCCAAAACACTATAATAAAGTATTTCTTCATTGAGTACTTTTCGAGTTATGAGGCTTGAAATCATTTCTTAATTTTACATAAACCGTAAAATATCTTGTGAAATATTCATTTTTCGATTATCTTACCTTAATACTTTTATGTACAAAATAATGAGAGGAATCAATTGGTGTAAAAAACACATAGTTGTTTTAAAAAATAATATGTAATTGTTAATTGCAAATTACATATTTTTTTCTTAAAAACAACTATGTTTTTTCTTTAAAATTTTTATTTTTATGACACCTTATAACATATGTATTTGCAGAAGGACGATATCGATAAATAAGTACCTCAAATCCTTTATTTGCCGAGAACAGTACCATTATTGGCTTGATAAAAGGTTAAATTTTTTAAAGTTTCATAATATAACAGTATTTTTAGCATTTTTAATTGCATTTTTATATATTAACTTATATTTATATTTTATAAATTATTTTTTTATAATAACTTTTAATATTAATATTAACAATATATGATTAGGATCATCAAGTAGATCAACAAAATTAAAAAGAATGGAATACTGATACGTGACAAAAAGAGTTAAAATAATTTACATAATTATGATATAAAATAATTTTATTACGTTTATCACTATTCCTCATGCTTCCGCTAACAAGTTATATCTGTTTACCTTGTAGCGTTCGTAGCGATAAATATTTTATCTCCAGAAATTATTATAAAACAAGACTGCAATTTTATCGCACGACATCCTGTACGTTATATTGCATTTTAACAAAGTACAATATAATACATGAAAGAGAAATGTATCAATATATTTCTGTTATTCAAAATCTACTGTATACCAGTCTGTTATTTATTATCTTGTCACTCATGTATTTATTTCAATTTTTTATTGTAATCAAATTTAAATTTTTTTTTCAAACCTGTTTGTACGTATATTTCTGGTAGTTATGTTTTTAAATTTGCAAAAATTTTCTTTATAAGTTATTTATATATATTATTTATAATATCACTCTTTCTTCCTCTCTCTTGTTCTTCTTTATCAAAAATATTAATTTTTTCTATACATCAATTAGGATATTTTCGAAATTTTTTTCAAAAAAAGTAAAGCATAAAATCTTAATAACGTAAGCATAAAATCTGTTTTTATACAAAATAATAATTTTTAAATTGCTCAAGCTGCAAAACAATTGACATTTAAATATGTACAAATTAAAATTAAAAGATGAAATATACACATTTAATGGAATTAAAGATATATGAGAGATACATAAATGTACACACTTATGCATTATACATATATCACATTAGACATCCTAATTTTGACAAGGATAAATATATATAAGATTATATATTCTCATCAGACAAACTTTTTATGTGACGATTCCCATAATTAATGTTTTTCCATCAAAAAATTGTTCTTGACATAGTACAGTTATTCAAATCTGTAACCGTTTCATGTCGAAGTTTTGGAGAAAGACTTGCAATTCTGCCAGAAATGCTTTAATAGCAGTCGTATGATTGTCTTTTTACACACGAATATGATAAACATACCGATATCTTGCATGGTGTCCATCACAAAAATACTGCGTAAGATGTACAACATTGTAATATCATCAAACAGCCAAAATTCATACGCTGTTGATATAATCCAATCTATGGCTATTATGATAAACAACATGATAAACAGTCTCAGATATAGACTGAACCTGCAAATGAATATATCTTTTATATTTTCTGAATTTGTTTCATAAAGATAAATATCCTTCGAAAAAATCATAATTATTTTATATTATTGAATATATTTAAATAACTATAATAAATAGTATTAACTTAAATTAAAATTCAGAATAATGTGTTTGTACAAAAAATCTCATATTTATGAAAATATATTGTCGCGAATAAAGAATCTCAAAATGATTATTTCTCTCTTTCTCTTGTCGGAAATTATCAAAAATGCAATTGATTTTATTAAAAGCAATACCGTTGACAAGTAAATATAACGGCACATATCTTATTGTTAAACAAGATTGACATTGATATAAAAATGTTTGTGTACAAACCATCGCTTGTTGTCATTGTAAAATCTGCTCTGCGAATCTCTCAGATGACGGACTGTGTTCTTTTCATAACGCACAATTTTTAATGCAGTATAAATAGATAAGCAAATGCTACTAATAACACAAACACTTTTCGGCCCGTAAAAAAACAATTGAGACGCCGCATCTTCTAAAATAAATAATAAACTTCTTTACATCACGTGTTGTAAATAAAACACAAGAACATACTTTTATTTTTAAGATAAATTCTCAAAGGATTAATTAATTAAATGTTTTGTTAATGGAGTTATGTTAATAAAGAATAAACATACACTCACCATAAAACCAGCAACTATCGACGCAAAATTCCGGTCGGATTAAGTTTTTCGGCACGTTGGGAACGAAATCCATGATAATACAAAAGATAGTAAAAATGAAGGGACCTCCCCAAGCAAAGATAGAATATATTAATTTTTTTCTCTCTTGTTTCACATTTTTTTGTAACAAGCGAAAATCTCTGCAAAATGCAGAGTTTACTTTACAATTAATTAGTAATAAAGCAAATAAAGCAAATTGCAATGCAAATATAAAAATGCCTTCAATCAAATATTTTGAATATATATTGGCTTAAGATTTAAAAAAATTAAAAATTACAAAAAGGTTAGTAACATTATATTATGAATTTTTTATTTAATATAATTTTGTTAATAATTTAAAATATTTTATTTTAATAACATATTATTTTTCTTTTAACAATTGAATGCATTCTTATAAAATACAAATCAATCTTTTGTTTTAAAAAAGTAGATCTAATAGAAACTTCTAATACAAAAAATGTACATATATGTTTCTGAAATGCAACTTGTCATATTTTTTTAAAATTATCGTCCCAAGCCAAATAATTATCTTTATACTGCCAATTAAGAAGACACGATATATTCTTTCTAATAAATGCAAATCATTATTCTTTTTTATCCTTATGCGTTGTTATAGACATAATCTGAATGTATTATTTATACATATCACACATGAATATTTTATCATATCATATTCGCGTTTTTTTTGTATAAAAATATATCACAATCTTATAAAAATAAATTTATATTATAGATAAAATGTGGCATATAATAAACAATTTACCTAAATGTCCACCAAATGTCGAAACTCATTGCACTTAACCAGAAAAAGCTTGACAAAAAACAGAAATAGCTGACTAAAGCTGCAACAATAAAATAAACAATTTTAAAATGTCACTAATGGACAAGTATTTGTATATCATTAAGATGTTATATTATAAAATGTTATATTATAAACAGTTTTCCTTCAACTTTAACAGTAAGAATTTATTACAGAAAACAATGTAATTAATTAATACACGCTAATGTTTAATTAAATAATGTTTTAATTTAAGAAATAAATAACTCTACAAGATTTGAATTGTATTGTCAAAAAATTTTTAGGCAAAGTAATCTAAATTGTACTTTACGTAAAAGTAAAATAAAATATTATTTTAATTTTTTTCACTATTAATTCTTGTTTATAAAATTTTAGTACATTGTACAAGGTTTTATCGTAAAAAAATTAATAAAAATTAAGTACCAATTAAGTACTCTTACCAAAATTAAGTACTCTTTGTTACTAATGTAAAGTGAAAAAAATTAAAATAATATTTTATTTTATTTTAACGTATGATAGAATTTAAATTTCTTCGCTTAAATATTTTTTTGGTACAAAAATTAATTAAAAAAACTAATGTATACACTGTATTGACTGCATTATTACATGATTTGGCTGTACTGTACCAATTATAACACAGATGAAATATGAAAATTCTACTATGTTGATTGGATAGAACGATTGGAAACTTATAGTGTCAATTACGTATCCGAAAAATAACAAACTGCAGTATTTGCGCAGCATGAAACTATGTATATTACGAAGCTCCGGAAATATAGAATACACCACAAATATTATAAGCAAACATAACACAGACACTATGCGGCAACTCAAAAATAAAAATCTCAATTCATTTGAGATTTCATTTGTCAGATCGTTCATGTTATCCTTTTTTTTATTGATGGTTTCGTTCACAGCTTCCAAGCAGATAATTGCATCGAACTGATTATGATCCACAACGGCCAAACAATAAGATGTTGATTCGACAAATATGTCGAAATAAGGAAGATATAGAGAACTATTTGCGAAAAACATATACTTGTAATACTTGAAATAATAGTCCGGATAAAGAAAAAAACGTATAGTTTCCTGGCACGGATTTTGAACGATTAGTGGAAAAAGCTCGTCCACCTTCTTATTTTCGCTCTGTATCGAATTGTTCGAGTAACTGTATATGTTTGGGAAAACATATTTATTTTCACTGGTAATGCAATTCTCGTTAACCAAGCGATCACCGAGCGAACAACAGAGCTGAATACAAATAATAGTGTCATACATCTCATGTGGAACGATATAATTTTTATTATCACTTCCTTTATTGGAATTATTCTTGTTGCTATTTATATAATTTTCATACGAGTTATACCGCATTAATTCTGCTTTTTTGCCACAATTTTTCTTGATATCTTCCTCAAATTTGTATTGCTCTGTCGAATTATTGTCTTCGTTATCATCACTTACAGAACTTGATTGAAATATTAAAAACAAAAGGATGAGTAGAAGTGTATAATAATAAAACGTTAAATTTTCTCCACACATCGTTGATTTTTTAACGAGTCAAATTTATTGAAAAAAGTTAACTTATTATTCAGCAGTCACTGCGATATGTGAAGTACGAAAGTTCAAACGCGAATGATCTCATCAGACTGTGACGTTTCGGCCGATAGAAATACTCTTGCCCCAGTAAAGAAGTTAATATTATAAAACTTACGAAGAAGTTAATATTATAAAACTTACTATAAAACTATGAAGAATATATATTTGCAGAGATCAAAAAAATATTAATAAATAATCAACTCAATAGATTAATAGATAAGGCAATATTCCTTGATTTGTCGAAAAAAATATCATTAACTTGATAAGCTTATTTTTTTTTAATTCCATTTTTTAATTTAATTTTTAAAGTTTACGGCTTAAATATTATGAGACATAATAAAACTGTTTGTTTATTTAATTTTAAGTTTATAAATCTTTTTAATTATTAATATATACAGGATGTTGTGGTTGAATACACTGCAGTATGACGGATTGCCTATCCCGTTGGAGTCTTATCGGTCGAGAAATACGCGTGCCGATATTATCGATGAATAATATAAATAATTAATAAAAATAATAATATAATATATATATATATATATATATGTATATATATGTATATATATGTGTATATATATATATATATATATATATATATATATTAATATATATGGAACAATATCAAACAGCCAAAAGTTCCACAATGTTAATGAAATCGATTTTAAGGCCATTAAAAAAAACATTATGATAATTATGATAACAGTTTTAGATATAGTTTGAGCCTGTAAGTAAATATATGTTAAAATTATATTTCTTAAAATTATAAAAATTAAAGTGATCAGTCAGGCGTAGAGAGCTAAAGAATCAATAGTGTAGATAAGTTAATCAAAATATATATTAATAAATCATAATTACAAGCTTTAAACAAGATAGTTATAATATATAAAGATGTTAAAGATGTGTGCGGACGTTTCGACTTACTTTTAAGTCATATTCAGCGCAAAAATTGTAATGGAGATAGAGCATATTATAAAAGTTCGTATAGAGAGAAAACAATAAATATTATAACGCAGAAAGAATATGAACTAGTGAAAATCTTATAGGAGATACAACTCCATACGCAACTGTAGAACATGGTTAATTGTCAACAGCTTACTGATATTTTTTAAAGGAGATGACTCCAAACGTAGCGGTATACATAGATAGTGTCATTTTTATTCTTGTCATCGTTATAGAAAGTAATATAGACGGAGCTTTTTTACTTTTATAATTTTTATAATTTTTTAAAATTGTCAACATAATTGTTCATCAAACGATTTAGCGACACACTTTCTCAACTTTGTTCCTCATGGCAATATTTTCCAGGGAATTGTGCTCAATTTTGGGCCAATTAACCCAAATTAACCCAAATTAGAGTGGTATTATTCCATATGGAAATATTTGGAGGCCGCTTACAACTATCTATGTATACCGCTATAACCGCCGTTTGGAGTCATCCCCTTTAAAAAATATCAGTAAGCTGTTGACAATTAACCATGTTCTACAGTTGCGTATGGAGTTGTATCTCCTATAAGATTTTCACTAGTTCATATTCCTTCTGCGTTATAATATTTATTGTTTTTTCTCTATACGAACTTTTATAATATGCTCTATCTCCGTTACAATTTTTGCGCTGAAGATGACTTAAAAGTAAGTCGAAACGTCCGCACACATCTTTAACATCTTTATATATTATAACTATCTTGTTTAAAGCTTGTAATTATGATTTATTAATATATATTTTGATTAACTTATCTACACTATTGATTCTTTAGCTCTCTACGCCTGACTGATCACTTTAATTTTTGAATTTTACAGAGAGCTTTATTATTATTTTTGTTAAAATTATAATGTAATTGGTTATTAAAATTGTTATAAATGAACATATTCCAAGTAACTAATACATCATAAAAATAAATATTTGCCGCAGAAAAACTACAGTTATTTTACTTTAAAAAAAATTTCTGTTAGGGAAATCTTCTTGCTAAATGTTTCTCATTTTTTATTTTATTCTTCGTGCTTATCTCAACTAGCAACCAGTTAGTCAATGCTGTATCATAAGACGAGGACGTTGTAGTGGGAAGTGAGAAGCGATTAGCGGCGCGATTAGTGCCCGATATAATGCGATGGAAGACAGTCAGAGAATATTGCGTGCAAGTTTCGTTCTTTAATATAACATGACATCGCAAAAAATGATTTGTGTTCAATTATTAACAATAGAATAAAGTGTAGAGTAAATTTAATCATTGTGGAGTGACATTTATTGGAACACTTTCACAAATCTTCTACACAAAATTTGGTCCTTCGAATCAGATATTTCGGCTATGAACAAATAACAAAAAGCTGCAGATAACAAAGAGCAATAGTGTGTAATACAATCCGCAATCAACGGGACAATTGCATTATTTGTGAAAAATCTGATATTTCCCATTACGCAGTCCAAAACACAGGAAGGTAAGAGAGAACGTATTAATAAGCACCATTTTTATTTACGAATATCATTGCAAACAACGTTAAAAATATCTGTTTCAGGATTTTTTTGAGCTTAATCCATATTAACCATATTCTTTCGAGAGGACTCTTCAGGTCAACGAAACAAAGAGCAGATCATTGGATGTCTAACGTGTATCCTTACACACTGTCCTTGAGTTAAAATTAGAACAGATGTCCGGGGCATGGCAGCCCGGGCATTTTCAGTCCGCGATGTCAAGTAACAGTGAGAATCTTGGCGTCATTGCGAGAACACGACAAGTTGCAGAAGAATTGCACGAGTAGGAAGATCGACGCCTTGTACACATGCAGTGTGAATAAAGTATCGTATTCTTTTAAGCTTAGAGAAGTGGCTCAATTTATTTACGATCTCGATATTCGTGATTACGTTCATATTAACTGGCGACCGTGACAGGACGATTTGTTAGCGAAATCGGGAATTAAAAGTTGAATCTTTCTTGTTCAACGCCGTGAAAATGGATGTCCTGAAGAAACAAAAGAAGTCGCTTCGTCTATCCTTTACAAGTGCTCTCCGTGCGTTCTCAACAAAATTAGAGAGCGACTGCTCAATAGAAGCAAAGATAGTGGCGTTTCAAAACTTGGAAACAAAAATGACTGAGTTGGATGCAGTACATTCTGCATATAAAGATGCACTGTTCGAATCAGGAGCGGACGAAACTGATATCAACAGAGAGTTGGAATCGGACGACGCTGTTAAGTACAAAACTCAGTACTTAACAGCGAAAAGGAAAATATCCGAGATCCAACGCGAACAACGAAATCGACGTCGGACAACAAAACATCCAACGCCATCGACGTCGGACAACATAACGAGAACGGTCTCGACGAACGCTCTGAAGCCATCGACGTCGAAGTTTTCTGAATTCGAACCGAAATTTGGTGGTAATATTAAAGATTGGCTTCCCTTCTGGAGCAAGTTTAAGAAGATAAACGAAAATCCTTCAATTAGTAAAGAAGATAAAATGCAATACCTACAACAGGCTATGATACCAGATTCGTGTGCGAGCGAAATTGTGCGAAGTTTTTTGCCTACGGGAGAAAATTATGAAAAGGCAATTTCGAGCCTAAAAAATTGTTTCGGACGAGACGATATTATTGTGGAATTTTACGTTCGCAAACTACTAGGTCTCGTGTTGCAAAACGCACAGGGAAATACCAGGTTGTCCCTTACAAGTTTATACAATAAGCTCGAGTGCTATATTCGTATAATGAAAACGCTTGGTATGACGATGAACAATTGTGCCGCCATGCTGTATCCGCTCGTCGAGTCGTCTCTTCCAGAAGAAGTCCTACGAGCATGGCAACGCAATGAACAACGAGAAGCGATGGAAACGAACGGACAAGGTGAAACAACAAATAGAAAACTCGCAAAACTTCTTAGATTTCTACAGTCGGAGGTGGAAAGCCAGGAGGATATTGGCATGGCATTGGCAGACTTGAGTTTATCAACGAAATAAGAGAAGATGAAGAAGCTAAAAGGAAAAGTTACCTCCTTCGTCGATTCTAAAATAGAATCGATGAAGGAGGTAACTAGTGCCAGTGTGTCTCTTGTGGCTAGGGTTGTACGAGACACCAAGATTAGTCTTGATATTGTCTTGTCTTGAATTTTAAGACAAGATCAAGACAAGATTTTTAATTAGTTATCAAGACAATACCAAGACTAAGACTGTTATGATTATTATTGATTCTCAAAAAAACTAAAATATTTATATTTGTAAATGAAAAAAAAGTCACTATATACGAATTTAAAAAATTTTATTCAATAAAAACATTTATATTAATAAATTTAAAAACATTTAATATTAATACAATATAACATTTTTATAAATTAGAAATCAAATTTGCAAATTTTAGACATTAAAGAATATTTCACCCAGGAATTGATGCACGTTAATGCTTTTAAAGATTTACTTTGTAATCTGGTTCTATTTTTTGACATAGTCAGAGTTCCTATTGAGAAAAGTCTTTCTACTATCACGGACAAGGCAGTTGAACTTAAAATGTCTCGAGCCATTTTTGACAATGTGGGATAAATATGAACCTGATTTTTTTATCACTCTAAAATATTTATCTGCACATTCCTTTGGAGCCTGTAAATAATTATTAATTCCTGTTTTCCATGAAACAGTAAATGTTTTTTTATATAAATAGACGGCATTTATATCGATTACATAGTAATAATTATAATTAAAATATAATACAATAGTAATAATTAATTCAAATTATATTATAAAAATTATGTTAAATATTATTTAAATAATTTTGTAATAATCAGTAATTAATCGGGCTTGAGGAGCAAAAAAATAAAACTTTGAAGTTAGAAACGAACGTATGTCTAATTTAATACAAAAAATACACTTTAAATGGGTTAGCTTTAATCATATTATTTGTTCGCATAGTAAAAAATTAATTAAAAAGTTATGATTTGATAAATTAATTTCGCACATAATATTAACAAAAAAATTCTAAAGTAAACGTTTCGGTCCTCGTCTGGATTCTCCTCAGTACGAATTAACATTGATGAATATAAAAAATAAAAATTAAAAAAAATTAAAAAATATATAAGGTGAAGCTTCTTATACGGTTACGTATGAGTGTCGCAGCATATTCAGTTGTATAGACCCGGAATCAGGCTCTCATGACTGTAAGCGTCGACATCTGGAGCTTGCTTGCTAACGTCAATCTCCATAGCATGGGAAAATGCATGGGGAACATGCCCGATTAATTACTGATTGTTATATATAGGAGCCACTTCATATATTTATATTTAATTTTTTAATATTAGATAAAAAATTGTTAATAAAATCGAGACAAGACAATACAAAATGAGATTTTTGCTACCAATATTCACTCAAGACCAAGACAAGATTTAAATTTTTCCAAATTTTCAATACCAATACAATATTTTTACGAATATTGCCCATACAGCACAGAAAGTTGAAATAACGTTGCTGAAACGTTGCAATGTTGAATATTGAAGTATGAATATTTTCACAACACTGAATCTATGTTGATTTTTCTACATTGATTCTTTATATTGTTACAACGTTGAAACAATATTCAAATATTTATTATATTATTCTTATTATTTATTTATTTTTATTTTATTTGATTATTCAAAATAATTTTATATATAAATGAATATATGTGTATATAGTATATATATATATATATATATATATATATATATATTTATTTATTTATTTATATTTATATATAATTTAAAATTTATATTAATTACACACACACACACACACACATATATTAATACATATTTCTGTTATATAATATATAATTTTATACATAATAAAATTGTATAAACTCCGGTTAAAGCAAGTTGTGGAACTGGGTCTAAAAACTTTTCGAGTCTGCTCCCAATAAAATAATTCGTTTGGCGCAGGCACGTTATTAATCTTTTTGCCGCTATAACAAAGAATTTCAGGCACATAGTCATAGCACCAGAGATGCCAGATTCCGGCCTTTTGGTAACATGCGGTAACATGGAGGGGATAATAGAAAGAGATAAAACATGATTCTCTCTCGCTCTTCTCGGTGCTATCGCATGCTATCGAAAGGCCGGAATCTGGCATCTCTGCATAGCACATGCTCGCTCGCTAGTGCGCATCAGTGAAATTAACAATAATAGTGAGAAAAAGACGTTTATATTGATACACAGTGCAATCATCAGATAAACCAACAGTGCGATACGTTGTCTCACAATCAGTGAATATTTCCAGTTTGCAGTGCAAGCACTGATTCCAAGTGTATTATTGAAAAGCAACCGGTGTAACAAAGTCGAGGTTATAACCCTGCCCACTGCGAATAAAATTAAAATTAAAAACAGGTATTTATATTTTATGTTTACATATTTTATGTTCTTGATTTTTGATGATCTCTTTTGTGGAATAAAATATCGAAATAACAATATACATGATTAATCGATTTTAAGGTTATGCTTATTATGTGTTATATATTTTATGTATGTGATATTATTTTATACATATGCTTGTGTTGGAGATGTTCATAGGAATAATGCGATTATGGGCGTGCTTCTTTAAATGTTATTTATAATAGTTTTTATTTGTTTTGTAAAATTTTCGCTTATTTCTAAATAGAAAAGAAGTACATACAATGTCCATTCCATGGAAAAATACGTTCCAAAAATATTCGGAACGACACTTGAGACGTTTAATTGTTAAAGAAACTCAATTTGATTACATGTTATTATCACCAAATATACCAGGATGCTCTCAGTGGCCTGATACACAAAATGATGTACATATTGAAAAAGAAGTAACTGTACAGTATGTATTACATATATGCTATGATATACAGAATGAGACACAAACTTTTAAGCTATATTCTCAAAATATATTTAAACAAAATATATTTTTGAATATATTATTTAAAGCAGTTATATTATTAGCTTATATTATTAGCTTATATTAAGCAGAATATATTATTTAAGCAGTTTTTAACATTCTGCAGAAAAATGATATATGAAATTATACTTTATTAGTTCAGATTTTTTAATATTTTATTTATTGATATATTTTGATACTTAATATCAAATATCTAGTAACATATTCATTTTTGAACTATATTAAACATGACTGTTCGAAATATTCATAAACAAAAAAATGAAATAAATCCATTAATATCAAGAAAATATTTAATTAGTTGTTTGGAAAATATATACGTTTTGTAATATCTAAAAATAAATATTTTACAAGATATTTTACATTATAAATATTAAAATATACTAGAATATAAAATACAGAGTCATCCCCATATAACATAAAAATTTCAATGAATTCTAAAAGCATGATGAATTCCGCAAACAAAAATCATCCCTATTTAATACAATAGATCATCACTATTTATAATAATGAGAAAAGAGTTTATAATATTAATATGTAGCCCATCATGTATATTAATTGTGTATCATTATAAAGGTTATTTTCTAGTTCTTTTGCTTCAACAACTAATTCATTTTATTTTTTTATAATTTATTAACTTATTTACAATTATAATTTATTAACTTATTTTTTAATAATATTAAATAAAATATTATTTACAATCTGAAATATATTTAAGTTCACAATTTAATTTTACGTGTAATTTTACGTGTTTATAAAATGTATAATCAAACATTTTAAAGTAAGAAAGTTATATAACTTTTAATTTTTTTAATTATGTGTAAATAAAACACACTATAGGTTATGCCTACAAATTATGTCAACCTTGCTTTAATAACATATATCATTAACATAACATGTATCATTAGATTAGGTTCATTTTATATTTGAAATATTTTGTAGTAAACATAAACTACAATTTTTTGTAACACTGCTTTTATTAATGAACAATTATTATTTATTATATTATAAAGTTACTATATATTATCAAGTTAATGTAAATTAATATATTATTAATGGCCAGATTATTTTTCCTAACTGTTAATATAATTTTTTTAGTTTTATTTGTATTTATTGTGTGTATATTTATTTATATGTAGGAAAATAATGCAGAGAGATAATATTCATTCAGAAAAAGTGTTGAATGAATCAATTCAATATGACGATAACAGACGCTACCAGAAAAGAAAAAAAAGATATTTCACAATCAAACAAGCAATACTGATATTAATTCATCATTATATAATTTTAATAAATATAGTACGAAGAAATCTTCCAGTAGCGTGCAATCTGATATTTCATGTACGGGAAAACAATCTACATCATCATGTAAAACAGGTAAATATTTAGTCATAGTTAAGTATAGTTAAAACAAAATAAACATTTTTTACAAAATTTTAGGCGAACAAATTATTGAATAGAGTGAATCTGCAAAATAATTATTTTTTATTATTCATTATAATCATTAAGTTATTTCCATTTGTGTACTTTTTGAATGTTTGGATAAAGCACAGAATAGAGAATTGTTTATTCATATCATTTTAAATACTTTTGCAAATAATATATTTCTCAAGAAATTTTAATATTTTAATATTATGTAAAATATGCATTACAATGCTCAAAATCAGTATTTTTTACATAAAATATATATATATATATATTATTGCGCCGATTGGTCGTTCCTATTGGTGTTCATATAAAGGATTTAAAATTTATTATGCAGATTTTCAAACAGAAATACTTCGCAAACTGAACATTATTATTCATCAAGTAAAAATGGTGGACAAGAGACTGAAGATTCACGAAGAGCAATGTCGTTTCAGCCTTGACAGACGTGAAGATGATATTCTTCAAGATGAAGAAATAGGATATTTTTAAATAGGATTACCTTTGCATAATGAATTGGCATTGGATATTTTAGAAACAAAATTGAAGAACAAAGAATTTTTTGAAAGCATGGTATGTTATTTCTTACCTTTAAATATTTTTAAATATTGTTTTTAAATATTTAAATTTGTATTTTTAAATATTTAAATATTTAAATATTGTTATTATATTTGCTCGCGATGCAAAGAACATTTTGAATATTTAGAAAGTTATATATTTTAAATAGAATATCTTTATATATATATACAAATTTAATATTTTATAAAGTGTACATGTTATTTATAAAATCATAAAATAAGTGCATTTAGCAGAACGTTTTTACAACTGTTGGAAATTTTCTGAATTGAG